TTTCCGGTCCAGTGGTTAAACATGGTTCTATTCTGTTCATACAAAAATATTTGAAACTTCGTTTGATTTATTTTGTTGTCGATGAGAGATAATCTGCCGATCAAAAGAAAATATACACTTGAAAACTGGATTTGACTAAAACAATTACAAAAGTTAGTGAAAATAGTTGCTGCAATCATACGGCCCACAACACAACTGAGATACCCGCATCAAATACATCACCATCGAATAACCATTTCTTGTATATTTCATATTTAGCCACCATCAAATGTAGGTGTATACTTTCTTATTCCCGATAGTTTAAATTGCATATTCACCATACATATTCTTGATTAGTCAAGATTAAAAGTGTATAATACACACAGACTTTTCTTTTGTATCATTTCAGGCTGTCAGCATAAACCACGAAATGTACGATCTTTCAACTCTGTTTTTTTTCAGCAAAATTATTCTAATAAGAGCCCCCTATTTCTAATTTTTAGAGCGCCCTGGGCACTTATTACGTCGAATATAGTTTGGGTGAAACGTTGGTGGCAGTTTGACACCTTACCGTAATGTATCGTTATAACATACAGTATAAGCAGTTTTCAGTATACCTTTTTTTTACGGTTAAAACCTGAAGGCACAGGTACCGGTAAGTTACCGTAATGGTTTAAAAGGTTGGTCTATGGGTACTGGTTAACTGAGGTGATCGTACTGAGTTGCGCCCCTTCTACGTATCAGAATCCGGTGATCGTGGGGTCGAATCCCAGATTCATCCTGATTATGATTCATTCCTGTGCTCCTACGTCTCACAAGGTGTTAAACATCAGCTTTGCATCACTATGAACTTTCCTCCCACATTAATCTGATTAACCAGGTCCTGAATCAAATACTGTTGAGCGAACCCACTTCACTCACTCACCCTACGTAACGGATACGCACAGTACTTTTAAGAAAGCATTTTACAGATCTAACCTCCAGTTCCACTTCTCTTATCCATTCGTAACCAACTCGTGTTATTCCGAAGCCGAATAGCGACTTGTGTCTCTCTCGTGGCCATTATTGCGACTGGGTTCCATCTAACGGCCTAATGATTCACGTACATTTCCCCCATATATCATATATATTCAAGATGCTATTGAAACCACATCGGGACTTACAGTATTATACAGTTTGATTGGACACACATAACTGTATCTTGGATATATTTTATTTTTAAATCCAAGACATACGTATAAAATCATAAAATATTCCTGGTGGATTCTTTGACCGAAGTACTTGAAGTCATACGCTCATTCTGATTGGTTTGTCGTATTTTCGCACATGCCATTCATCGATAGGAAACGATTCTTCTTACGAAAAGTGGCGAGTGGTGACGAATGCTCTCTGATCACTGACATAGGGCAAAGTTATATCATAGCGTATTAACCTCATATGGGAGAAAACCCGAAGTGATACGGATATTAGACGGTTAGGACTTTGGTGAACCCGACTAGCACTGACAAACCAAATCATTATCGGCGCACCTGAGGGGCTGAACGTTGCACAGGACCCGTGAAGATCCGGGGTAGAATAGGTCTTCAGCAACCCATGCTTGCCGTAAAAGGCGACTAACGGGATCAGGTGGTCAGGCTTGCTGACTTGGTTGATGCATGTCATTGTTTCCCAATTGCGTGGATTGATGCTCATGATGTCAATCACTGGATTGTCTGGTCCAGACTCGATTATTTACTTTCGACTTACAGTTGTAATATTGCGGCGTTCCATTCCCTCCATTTCCTCCGTCCTGACATTCCTGGAATGACCTACAAGCGGCATAAAATCGTTCTCATTTACTCACTCCATTTGTAATATGAAATTGTGTGAGAGTGAATGAGTAGGGTTAAACGCCGATTTTAACATTATTCAAGTTATATCGCGGCGTGTCAGCTTAATGTGGGAGGAAAGCCCGAAGTGATGCAGGTCTCAGACGTTTACCACTTCGGTAAAACCCGAGCAAGGGTATGGTGCTGACAAACCTAGAAACATAATCGGAGCGAACCTGGATTCGAACCCACAAGCATAGGTTTCTGGCGTGCGAATCGCAGCGACTGGGCAACCCGTACCCCCGCAATATGAAATAAAGGCAATCAAAAGCATGCAATTATCATCCACGTGAGGAACGTCAGTTTACAGAAACGCAGCTAGATACTAAACAAGGTCACCTTTGCTCGTTTACCACGATATGTCCGTATTCCAGTTCACAATTCATAGTTTGTCTGTAATTTATGACCCGTTGTGACATGTATTGTCAGCACTCAGATGGTCTGCACAATGGAGGTGCTTGTCCGGGAGTGGTGAGGTGAGGTGAAATTGGGTTTAACGTCGCGTCCAAGATTATTGCACTTATATAGCGACGTGTGTGTCTGTGTGTGTGTGGCTGCTTGTACTAGTCCGGACTGATGCCGATTTATAGTGCTAGCACACTGAGATTCCATGCCGCAGTTTAACATGAATACCCCACTCAGACACAGTATACTGACTCCGAGCCGACCAGTCCGCGTTTTAGCCCCTTAATGCCGAGCGTCAGACAGGTTAACAACAAGTACCATCTTTTAACGTCTTTTGGTATGACGCGGCCGGGATCGAACTCCGGACCTTCCGCTCTCCGGGCGGACGCTCTACCTCTAGAGCACGGAGGCGGTCTGTCCGATAGAGGAATCGTCACATTGGACAGAGTTTGGACCAGACAATCCAGTGATTGATATCATGAGCATCGAGCCACGCAATTGGGATCGAAGGTGCTTGTCCGGGAGAGAAATCATCTATAGGTCACATTGGGCATACGTGTCAAAGGTTAACCGTTATAAACAGTGTACCCCTTCAAAGTGTACCCCGTTATTGTGGACGCCATTAATCTGGATCCCGCTAATTCGCACCACGTTAGTGCGGATCCTTTTAGTCCGATCCCTCTTTAATCCGGACCCCGTTAGCGTGGACACCCAGCTGATTCAGAATAGATTTTTCATATACATATATCTTTCTTTTTCTCTGAAAGGATAGCGCCCTGCAAATGCATACCCAGCAAACATTGTTTGTGTGTTAACCCTGAGGCAGAATTTGTGCTTTCCAGTATTTTATTCTTAGTCATTTGTGGCTCGTGTACAAGGAATGCATTATGCGGGACTGGGTGTAGTTGTTGCTACGCATAGCGAAGTCATGTCGCATTTTATTTAAAATGTGAGACCCGTGAAGAGAGGTCTTCAGTAACCCATGCTTGCCGTAAAAGGCGACTTTTCTTGTCGTAAGAGGCGACTAACGGGATCGGGTGGTCAGGCTCGCTGACTTGGTTGATGTATGTCATCGTGTCCCAATTGCGATGCTCATGATATCAATCACTGGATTGTCTTGTCAAGACTCGATTATTTACAGACCTTCGTAATATAGCTGGAATATTGCCGAGTGGGGCGTTAAACAACAACAACAAAACATCATCACTTCGGGCATTCCTCCCACATTAAGCTGACACGCAGTGATATAACTGGAATACTGTTCAAAGCGTCGCTAAACCCATCTCACTCACTTACTTATGATGTTGTGGAGGTGTCAGCTGGATCTGAGCGTATTGATGTATAGTAAACAAAATAAGATCTATTCGCGATCCCTAACCTTTTTATTCAGTATACGATCCCTAACCTTTTTATTCAGTATATATAAACTGAGGGTCAAGAGAAAGTTTACCTTGTTTGTTTTGTATGTAATTGAAAGTTGAAGAACTGTTGATTCCCTCTATGTAACCATCACCCATCCAAGCAACAGTTTGTAAAAAGTAAACTGTGGCTGGGTAAATTTAGGTAAAACTAGATTGGTTAGTGATGACTGCGGTAAAGCATGAATTTGCACCCACATGACCCAACCATGTTTGAAATAATATAAATTTGTGCCGAAATAAGCAAATTTATTGATTTTCGAAGACAAGATGTCTTCGATACCCAGTTGTGTATTATGCGAAATATTTATTTTAGATTTTAAAAGGTTTAAATTAAATTATATTTAAAATAGTGAAACCATGTAGAAGAAAGTATTCTAACTGTATGAACTAAGCGCAAGTACAGTTTATTTTGGTTTATATTTATTTATTTATTTATTTATTTATTTATTTATTTATTTATTTATATTATATAATTATTTATAAATTTATTTATTCATTTATTTATTATTGAAAATCAAACATATGTTAAAATCTACCGAGATATTTATTTATTTATTTATTTATTTAGATATTTTTTATTGAAAATCAAACATATGTTGAAATCTACCGAGAGGTATGGTTTCCTTTGCCCCCCAGTTATCAACAGGTCGGATTTAATTAATCTTTCGAAAAACCCTTATGTTACCGACAACACACACAAAATTGTTTCCTTCCCTTCAATGAAAGCACGAACACAAATGATGGGTGGAGAGAAAAAGATGGATTTTAAGTTATGTGGTTTGTTTTGTTTGTTTGCTGTATAACGCCGCTCTCCGCAATATTCCAACTATATGACGGAGGTCTGTAAATAGGGCCAGCATGGGTTGCTGAAGACCAATTCTAACCAGGAATCTTCACGGAACTATAAATAATTTAACATATGTCCTTTGCCGTAACAATGTATCTAAGAAGTGAATGAATATTACTTATTAAAAAAAACCTATGTTTAAATCTTATTTCATGGCTAAGAAGTCTTGTACACTACGTGATACACAACATTAAACAAATGTCGATAAAAAATTCATCATCAATCGAGGTGAAAGTTGACAATCGCTATTTACCGCTCAAACCATTACCCTGACCCTGGAATTCAAGGTACTTGATTCTTACAACGAAATGAACTGATATATGATTTTGTAAATGGTTATTAGGCCTCAACAATGTCTCAATTTAGAATATAGACAAACAAGGACAGAATCTAGCTCAATCATTGCCAAATCTTGACCGCTTTCAAATATGACCTATAGTGATATTGAACGGGAAAAGGCAATTTTGCACACGGCTTCAGACAAGGTATAAAAGTGGAGCTCCTACCACCCCTGTTGTTGGTAGGTGATTGCTCACAGTACCACCATGAAGTGTCTGGTTCTTCTCGCCCTCTGTGGGCTCGCCTTAGGGCTACCTAGCGGCAGACTCGACGAACAGGGAGCGGAAACATACTTAAAGTAAGAATTATTTTTGTATTTTTTCCCCATTCCACAGTTTTCCACACAGCACATGGCATATTATTTGTTTGTTTGTTGTTTAACGTCGCACTCAGCAATATCCAAGCTATATGATGACTGTCCGTTAATATTCGAGTCAGGACCAGACAATCCACTGATTGATATCATGAGCATCGTTCTACGCAATTGGATAAGGATGACATGCTTCAACCGAGTCAACGAGCCTGACCACCCGATCCCGTTAGTCGCCTCTTACGACAAGCATGGGAGTTATTCTAACCCGGATTTTCACGGGTGCAATGGGTATATACTGACATCATAGACGTATACAGGCTCGTAGCTCTATCGATGAAGATTGTACACATTATTATTTATCTCCTGTACGCCAAAGGGGCAAAGATTGTCTCCAACAGCATTGGAGCGAATGATACTCACGTGTAAATATTAGGAAACCTAGAGTGAGTGAGTGAGTTGGGTTTAACGCCGCTTTTAACAGTATTCCAGTTATATCGCGGCGTGTCAGCTTAATGTGGGAGGAAAGCCCGAAGTGATGCAGGTCTCAGACGTTAACCACTTCGGTGAAACCCACGAGCACGGGTATGGTGCTGACAAACCTAGAAACATAATCGGGGCGAACCGGGATTCGAACCCACAATCACAGGTTTCTGGCATGCCCAAGGGACGCAACTCTGCACAGCGAATCGCGGCGCCTTAGATGACTGGGCCACCCGTGCCCCCTAGGAAACCTAGAACGTCACAGTCACAGTGTCGATGCTGCTATTATGATCTTTCGTTTTATAAAGGTAAATTTAACAACATTGTTTAACAACAAATTTAAATGTTAATATTGCAATAGTAAAACTGTTGAAGATGAGTATCATGATTGTGTTAGTTATATGTGAGTATAACAAAGAACTACGACTGTGTTATATATCAAACAATTTTTCTGAATGTGCATGAGTGGCGGTCTGGTAGCCTCGTGCTTAAAGCGTTCGCTCGTCACGCCGAAGACCCGAGTTCGATTCCCGACATGGGTACAATGTGTGAAGCCCATTTCTGGTGTCACCCTCCGTGATATTGCTGAAAGCGGCGTAAAACCATACTTACTCACTCAATTAGCACCACGCCGTGCTCGTGGGTTTGAACACAGGGATGAGGGTCGTGCTTCTTGCTTCATTGTGGGTTAATCTCCCTCATCATGTTATCCCGCGCGCAGATCCGGGTTAGACTTGGTCTTCGTCAACCCATGCCAAGAGGCGACTATGCTTGTCGTAAAAGGCTACTATGCCTGTCGTAAGAGGCGACTCTACTTATCATAAAAGGCTACTATGCTTGTCGTAAGAGGCGACTATGCTTGTCGTAAAAGGCGACTATGCTTGCCGTAAAGGCGACTAACGGGATCGGGTGGGCGAGCTCGCTCACTTGGTTGAACCCAATTTCACCTCATTGGCGACTCTACTTGTCGTAAAAGGCTACTATGCCTGTCGTAAAAGGCGACTCTGCTCGTCGTAAAAGGCTACTATGCTTGTCGTAAGAGGCGACTGTGCTTGTCGTAAAAGGCTACTATGCTTGTCGTAAAAGGCTACTATGCTTGTCGAAAAAGGCGACTATGCTTGTCTTAAAAGGCGAATCTGCTCGTCGTAAAAGGCTACTATGCTTGTCGCAAGAGGCGACTATGCTTGCCGTAAGAGGCGACTGTGCTTGCCGTAAGAGGCGACTGTGCTTGCCGTAAAGGCGACTATGCTTGCCGTAAAGGCGACTAACGGAATAGGGTGAGCGAGCTCGCTCACTTGGTTGAACCTCACCTCACCTCACCTCACCTCACCTGCGGACCTTAATGAATTGTAACACGTATATAAAACCTCTTGCCGCACTTATTTAAAACATGTTTTCACGTAGGCAACAATTCATTATTTAAAATTGTAATCCTTTAAGTGGGTTTCGCAATCCTGTAAGTTATAATTCTATTATAGAAATAATGTTTTACATTGTTCATTGTGTCTCATATGCCTTTAATGGCCTGATTTTGTTGGTATTTGATGCAAGTTTTTTATGTCTAATGTGTACACATACAACACGTGACACATAAATAAAATATTTTCTTCTTTTCCTTTTTCTTCTACTATTGGGTAAGGATGAGCAATTTGGGTTAAGTGTGTTGTAATAGTGATCGTTCCTTGAAGCTTTACTCCGAAACATCCATAGATGCTGCGACGAATATTTTGTAGTACTTGACGAATATTCATAAATTGGACGATCAGACGCAAGACGCTAGGGTGTGAGGTAAATGTTACCTTTAGCGTTTTCTTCCACTTGCAGCCATCGCCTCGTGGACGTGAACATCACCAGTGTGGAGCAGCAGAGCTACATTAACGACCTCGCCGACGTTGGAAACATGGGGGTAAAAGGGGAATGAGTTGCTGCTGATGTTGTATCGCGTAGTGGTAAACAACGCACGTCGTTGTTGTCGTTACACAATGCTTATAACACATGTACGATCTGTTACTAACGCCAGGCTGATACGCTATGCAACGTTAGTAGACGCTTCACAAGAAAATGAACCCGTGAAGATCCGGGGTAGAATAGGTCTTCAGTAACCCAAGCTTGCCGTAAAAGGCGACTATGCTTGTGGTAAGCGGCGACTAACGGGATCGGGTGGTCAGGCTTGCTGACTTGGTTGATGCATGTAATCGTATCCCAATGCGTGGATCGATGCTCATGATGTCAATCACTGGATTGTCTGGTCCAGACTCGATTATTTACAGACCGCCATCATATATCTGGAATGTTGTTAAGTGCGGCGTTAAACAAAAAACAAACAAAACACCTGCGGCCTGCATCACTTCGGGCTTTCCTCCCACATTAAGCTGACACGCCGCGATATAACTGGAATACTGTTAAAAGCGGCGTTAAATCCAACACATTCACTCACTCATAGGTATAACAGCACTGCCATTCCGTACAACGCACAACACTGTTACTAGAAGCACAATGCTTGAAAACAGAATACTATATGTACATCCCAGTGACAGTGAGTCCATCAGGGTGACGTAGTGTCACATAAGCACAACATTTCCACAAGCAACACACGTCAGTTGTGCAAGCGTGGCGTTATTACCACACGAGTAACGGTATCTCGCCTTTCAGCTCGATGTCTGGTTGTACCCCACGCTGAAGAACACAGGGCGACTCAGAGTGCCTCCAGAGTCTATTGACCTCTTCATGGACTTGATGCAGAAGTCCGGAGTCAGCGCCAAGATCAGAACCCAGAACCTGAAGCAGTAGGTGGACCCCTCATATTTGAGGGTACCATATATACCCGTATGTGTTGAATACTCGTCAATGTCAATACTGTTAGGGGCGGTCGGGTAGCCTAGTGGTTAAAGCGTTCGCTCGTCACGCCGAAGACCCGGGCCCGATTCCCGACATGGGTACAATGTGTGGAGCCCATTTCTGGTGTCCCCCGCCGTGATATTGCTGGAATATTGCTAAAGCGGCGTAAAACTATACTCACTCACGCACTCAATACTGTTGATGGACACTACAACGTAAGTTCGTCATGAAACCACCAGTCTTATTGGCAATAGCTGATGTGATTGCAACATGTGAGGTAACGGCATCGACCAAGAGGTCTCTCTGACACTTATGGACCAGAGACGTCCATATGTTGATGATTTTTGTCTCCCGTGACCCGTAATGGGGTGTCCTCAGATCTTTGTTTAGCTTCAGCGAGAACCTAGATCTGATTTTAATGAGATTGGTCCATCGGCTTTCCTGTCAGACCCCTCGCACGATGAAATATCAGAACGAAACGTCCAGGTACCACCCAAAGTCACCTCTTTTGGACATTTTAGCCTTAATCCTTCATCTGTAAAAATCATACTGGCGTGAAAAATAAAGTATATTCCTCTGTTTGATCAGAGACCATATAATAGACGACTGCCGATATAATCCTTCTTCTTTCTTGGCATTTACAAAGCAAATGATAATTTTATAATACAAATATTTCATGTAACGGATTTTTATTTTTGTATGATGTTTTCATTGTTGTGTAAATACACAAAGTAAGTAGTACCTTCATCATATTTACATTATTATGATTGGGTTTAGGCCAAGATCATTTTGCTCATAATCAATATTTACACGGCATAAAATTGATAATTGATTAAATGTAGTCATGATTAATACAGACAAAATCTAAAGAAGATAACAAATATGTAGTATTCTAGTATGTAGTATATGCGCGATATGTGATAGAAGCCTAACTGAAAGAAAGTTAAACTTACGAAGAAATGGCGAAAGCAAAGGGGTAAAAAAAATACGCGTCTTACAAAAACAATTCTAATATCATACAATATAAGTCACTTTGTGGAATGTTTCAAAGGATATATGCGGATGATAATCACAAACAAAATGCATGTTATGTCGTCTGCTATATGGTAATTTAACTTAAAATATGTGACGTAAAATATGGCCTTGCGCCAAAAATTATACAAAAAAAACTACCGATCGTACCTAAATAACTTTGGTACAAAGCCAAAGGGGAAATCGTGATAAATGTAAAACTATTTAATTCAGGGCCGATAATAGGAACACATTCGTCTGAAAGCATGCGAAAATTAAGAGTTGTGGTGTAATTATTTCGGGACAATTCAGATTTAGTCCCATTTCTGGAGTCAAAATCTGAAATTTCGCATCCGCCCTAAATTTTTAATGGCACTAAACCAATTTTTAACATATCCCCTTTTATACACTTTGGTAACAAAGGACTTTCATTACGAATTAGAGGCCGTTATTGAAAATCAAAATCTGCACTTTTGCCGATTTTACATGTGCGCCATTTTGTTCTCTCGGACAAAGACAAAGCGTGATCACAGTCATCAAATACAGTGACAACGACATGCTTTAGGGCACCAACAAATCTCAGTTGTAATGCTAACAATGTTACGAAAAAACATGAGTGTAAATATGTATTGTGAAATATATCTTTTGCATGGAAAAAAAAGGCGACAACGATGACTGCAGTGAACGCGTTTCTGCTCGCTTCCGGACAGGCTGCGCAGTACAATCCGTAGCAGTGATGGTTTCGCGCATAGGCTAGAGGGCCGTCCCTCTATTATATGGTCTCTGGTTTGATAGTGGCAAAAATGAAACAAGAAATAGTTATTCGATGGTGATGTATTTGATATGGGTATACTAGTAGTGTTTTAGGCCTTAAGTTTGCAGTGTTTCGGCGTCTGGTGACAGTTTGAGAACGTTTGTTAATAATTTTATTATTGTTTGGTTCAAATCCAGTTTCCAAGTGTATACTTTCTTTTGTCCGTCAGTTTATATTGGAATGGTTTCCCGTTTTTCTTAATTTGGTAGTTCTTGTTGTCCAAAGCGTTCGCTAGCGTTTTCTAAATTGAATCCAAATCAGATCTTGTCTTTTCCGTTTACGTGTGATGATTTAAACGTGACGTGTGTGTCTGATACAGGTTGAATGACGCTGTTTACGCACAGCCAGCGGAACCATCTCAGTACGCTGACTTCATCGAGGGCGTAATTAGACACAACGCCTACTACAGGTTGAGCGATGTAAGTTGGGGTTGGGTAACACGGGATTTATCATAGCGTTCAAGATTGTCACACTTATATAGAGACGTGCATTCATGTACGTGTGTGCGTGCGTGCGTGCGTGCGTGCGTGCGTGCGTGTGTGAGTGGCTGCTTGTACCATTGATATACCATAACGCAGACATGGATACTCCCACTCAGACTCCGAGCCGACCAGCTAATGTTTTAGCTCATTAATGCCAAGCGGTAACAAGTAACATCTTTTAACCTCTTTTGGTATTGCGCGGCCAGGGAATCGAGCCACAACCTTCCGCTCCCCGGGCAGACGCTCTACCCACTAGACCGACGCGACTGTCGGGTGAAACGCAATTGTGACGTGGTTAATAGCGTCTCAACGCTCCCCGACGGCGTTGGTGACGTGGTTATAAGCGTCTCAACGTACCCCAACGGCGGTGATGACGTGATTATTAGCGTCTTAATGTACCCAGACGGCGTCGGTGACATGGTTATTAGCGCCTCAACGTTCCCCGACGGCGGTGATGACGTGGTTATTAGCGTCTTAACGTTCCCCGACGGCGGTGATGACGTTGTTATTAGCGTCTCAACGTTCCCCGACGGCGGTGATGACGTGGTTATTAGCGTCTCAACGTTCCCCGACGGCGGTGATGACGTGGTTATTAGCGTCTTAACGTTCCCCGACGGCGGTGATGACGTGGTTATTAGCGTCTCTAAGTTCCCCCACGGCGTTGGTGACGTGGTTATTAATGTCTCAAAGTTCCCCGACGGCGGTGATGACGTGGTTATTAGCGTCTCAAAGTTCCCCGACGGCGGTGATGACTAGGTTATTAGCGTCTCAAAGTTCCCCGACGGCGGTGATGACGTGGTTATAAGCGTCTCAACGCGCACCAAAGGCGTTGGACGTTGCGTATCGCTGGTTAGTTTCAGTAATTAGCTGGAATAATACTGACTACGGCTAAAAACAACAAGCATGTCCAGTCTGGATGCCAGTGGTATTGCTGTACTTTGGTCGTTCTGGCACAGGGTTGCAAAGAGCATTAAATGATGTCTCGTAGCAACAACATCTCGGGTTCTATATGTTGGACGGGTACATTAATGTGATGTTGTTGCAGATTGACTCCTACACGTCCAACTTTGCCTCCTTCAGCGGAGTGAGCAAGTCCTACCTCACCAGGCCGACCTACGAGGGACGGAATACTCCATATGTTGAGGTAGGGGTCAAGGCTATCCACATCTTTCTTTAAGATTGATATATTAGCCATAAAATAAGTCTGGCGTTTTCTGTGGAGTAGCTTGTTAGTTATTTCATACCTTTTGTATTGTAAATCGTAAATATTTAGACACTGATACTAGAATATGAAAATATATATTAATATGAAATATGAAAATGACACTCGGATACGTCCATTAATACTGCGCCACAATTCCATTCACCTAGTTAATGCTCATGGCGCTACATAGTTTTAGCAAATAATGCTAATGAGTGAATGAGTGAGTATGGTTTTACGCCGCTTTTAGCAATATTCCAGCAATATCACGGCGGGGGACACCAGAAATGGGCTTCACACATTGTACCCATGTCGGGAATCGAACCCGGGTCTTCGGCGTGACGAGCGAACGCTTTAACCACCAGGCTACCCGACCGCCCCTAATGCTAATGAAAGGGGAGTAGAGTTGATAGTGTTGTCTGAAAAGGTGTGTTTTCAGATGAGCCTTAAAGGATGAAAAAAGCGATGGCGACAGCTTAAGATCAGATGGTAGTTTGTTCATAGCGAGGAAGCGCTGAACTGGAAAGATCTCTGACCAAAGGTTTTGAGACGGGTTTCCGGGACTTGTAACAGGTGGTTATTCTGAGAACGGAGATATCTGGAAGGCTTGTATTTAGGCAGTAGTTCGGTGAGATATAATGGGGCTGATGTCAAATGTATTGTAAGCACCATCCCGTGATGATCCTGACTTTCAGATTACCGGAGGCTCCGGCAACAACAAGAAGAACATCTTCATCGAGGCTGGCATGCACGCCCGGGAGTGGATCAGCCCTGCATCCGCATTGTACTTCATAGACAGGGTGAGTAGCAGCCCATCACAAACACTCAGCATCCCGTGGACATCCGGGAAAGAATTCGCCTTCAGCAACCCATCTTGGTCATTACAGCAGTGTGTACTTGTCATGCAGCTTGTCATGTTTAGGTAGAATTGTCATGACAACAGTGGGTTTACTTTTACAGCTTGTCATGCACGTGTAGAATGGTCATTACGTCCTTAAAGCAGTGTGTTTACTCTTACAGCTTGTCTTGCACGTGTAGAATGGTCATTACGTCATTAAAGCAGTGTGTTTACTCTTACAGCTTGTCTTGCACGTGTAGAATGGTCATTACGTCCTTAAAGCAGTGTGTTTACTCTTACAGCTTGTCTTGCACGTGTAGAATGGTCATTACGTCCTTAAAGCAGTGTGTTTACTCTTACAGCTTGTCTTGCACGTGTAGAATGGTCATTACGTCCTTAAAGCAGTGTGTTTACTCTTGCAGCTTGTCTTGCACGTGTAGAATGGTCATTACATCATTAAAGCAGTGTGTTTATGCTTACAGCTTGTTATGCACGTGTAGAATGGTCATTACGTACTTAAAGCAGTGTGTTTACTCTAACAGCTTGATATGCACGTGTAGAATGGTCATTACGTCCTTAAAGCAGTGTGTGTACTCTTGCAGCTTGTCATGCACGTGTAGAATGGTCATTACGTCATTAAAGCAGTGAGTTTATGCTTACAGCTTGTCATGCACGTGTAGAATGGTCATTACGTCCTTAAAGCAGTGTGTTTACTCTTGCAGCTTGTCTTACACGTGTAGAATGGTCATTACGTCATTAAAGCAGTGAGTTTATGCTTACAGCTTGTCATGCACGTGTAGAATGGTCATTACGTCCTTAAAGCAGTGTGTTTACTCTTGCAGCTTGTCTTACACGTGTAGAATGGTCATGACATCACTCACTATGGTTATTCTTGCAGCTGGCCATGCACGTGTAGAATGTTCATGACATCACTGTGGTTATTCTTGCAGCTCCTTCATCGACGTGAAACTGACAGCGATGCCAACTACCTGTACAATAACTTCAACTGGTTCGTCGTGCCCGTCAGCAACCCCGACGGCTATGAATACACACACACCTCCGTAAGTTTGCGTCATGCGCACTGACCTGGAGTCCAGCTGTGTCACATGTCTATAGGAGCACACCATTTAGGAGCAGCTCATGTACTGGCAGAATTGTCTTGTGTTTTCGTGACAACGCGTTACTTTGATAAATGGATTATGTTCATACAGCTGAAAGAATGTCGATGTCACAGTACACTGGTGGATGAGCTATCGCGCGCGCGCACACACACACACATACATACACACACACACGCACGCGCGCGCGCACGCACACACACACACACACATCCAACTTCCAACAACACGCTCCAAAGTCACAATACGGATTTCGCTTTATTGGCACAGTAGGATTGAAATATATGTATTGTGTGATCGATTCACAGGTTTCAAACAGTAATTTCAAATTTAACACTTTATGTACAGTAAACTACGGTTATAACGAACACGCTTATAACGAACTGACGGATATAACGAACTACCTTTTTGGTCCCGATATTTAGCTGTATTATGCTGTTTATATGCTTATAACGAACTACGGTTATAACGAACTAAAATTAGTAGTCCCTTTGAGTTCGTTATAACCGTACTTTACTGTAGATGGGTTCCTTTTCAAATTGACTGTTTTGTATCTTTGATACCTTAGCTGTTTTGTGTCTATTTGGTTTGGGGCGCTGTAACTTTTGTTTGAGAAATTCATTTTTTTCAACCATAAACCAAAATTAAATTTCATCATTCCCCTAATAGGTTGACTGCTCACTAACCAGAACTCCACTCCACTGTGTTATCCGGGGTAGAACAGGTCTACAGGAACCCATTCTTGCCGTAAAAGGCGACTATGCTTGTCGTAAGAGGCGACTAACGGGATCGGGTGGTCAGGCTCGCTGACTTGGTTGATGCATGTCATCGTATCCCAATTGCGTGGATCGATGCTCATGATATTAATCACTGGGTTGTCTGGTCCAGACTCGATTATTTACAGACCGCCGTCATATAGCTGGAATATTGCTGAGTGCGGCGTTAAACAACAAACAAACAAAACTTAGGGATTCACGGATACGGAGGGTTCCCATCAACCCATGCTTGTCGATCGATTTGTGTTAACAGGGAGTCAGTGATTTCCGATTTCGTGGATCGTTGCTCGTAAAATCAGTCCCTGGATGGTCTAGTCTCACTCGATTATTTACATTCCGCCGGCATATACAGTCAAACACCGTTGTATCTAACTTTGTTGTGTCGAATTTACGGTGGTCTCGAAGTAACGGCTTGGTCCCTGTGTATTTCTTTTTTTCTCATCAGTGTCGTTTATGTCGAACTTCGGATAACTCGAGGTCCCTTTAACTTTGACACAATGTTGTTTGACTGTAGCTGGAATATTGCTGAGTGTGCGTAAAAAAAAAGAACCCAAAAAGAAGACATTGTGATTATTTGTAATAAGAACACCATAAAAGTATAAAAGGAGTATGATACTACACCTGTGCTTCATCCATCTCTTCCTGTGTGTATTCAGTACCGGTATTGGAGGAAGAACAGGAGGGCTGTGTCTGGCTGTGGTAACAGCCGAGGTGTGGATCTCAACAGGAACTTCGACTCTATGTGGGGAGGTAAATCTAAGCCTCGAATCATTCTGGGGAAAGCTATATCGTATATTAACTGTGATGCTTCTGGTACAGAACCGGTGCAGTAAATGCCCCCCGTGACGATCCCGGGAAGAACAGGTCTTCAGCAACCCGTGATTGCTGTAAAAGGCGACTATGCATGTCTTAAGCGACGACTAACGGGATCGGGTGGTCAGGCTCGTCGACTCGGTTGATGCATGTCATCGTATCCGATTTGCGTAGATTGATGCTCATGATGTCAATCACTGGATTGTCTGATTACAGACCGCCGTCATATAACTTGAATATTGCTGAGTGCGGCGTTAAACAACAAACAAAACAAAACGTATTTTTTGAAAAGGGGAACTTAGAAGTCGGGTTGGTGTTATACTGGCCGTAATAATAAATAAATAAATAGAACTTTCCATAATTCATAAGAAATAAAAAAAGCAGAAATACTGTGAATAATGCTTGTTTTTAAATTGTATACGTAGATATATTTTGGATTTAAAACAATAGTTCTTTTCATTCAATAATAATGATTCTTTGAGTGAATGAACGAGTCAATATCCCTTAAGGTTACAGTCAGCAATACTGCAGATATGTCTATTTATATACCGAGAAATAGCGTTTTATATAAATAAATATTGATATATACAGCTAACGCTATGATTGAAACATTTCGGAGAACAATTCGTGTTGTCATTACTGTGTGGATTTTTAAAATATATATATTCAAGTCTGAACTAGACAAGCAATTTATATCGTCATAGCCCAGCTGCAGTTTTAAGCTATGGGTTGTTTTGTTATTCACATTCGGTTCTGGATCTAAGACTTCCTTTTTCTCATTAGGATCTGGGTCGAGTGGCTCGTGCTCTTCCGACACTTTCCGAGGGCCGTCGGTGTTTTCCGAGAATGAGAGTCAGAACGTCCGTGACAAGGTCCAGCAGATCAAGAGTCAGCAGGGCACCATCCACGCCTACCTCTCCATCCACTCCTTCTCACAGCTCCTCCTCACACCATACGGCTTCGCCTCCGGCACGTACCCTCCCAACAACAACGACATTGTGAGTCAACCTAACACGGCATTCGGATCATCTCGGATTATTCCGTTACATGTATAATATCCTCGGGAAATGGCGTAAATGTCTCGTTATATTACTAACAAACTCGGAATTCAGATCAACTTGGCCTATTTCGGTATGTGAATTATGTCCTTGGGAATTTGAGTATTTGTGTCGTTGAATGATAAAAAAAAAGAAGTAATCGGGCCATCTCGGCTTATTTCGTTACATGCGTAATTACCTTCACCCATGGAGCAGAATCCCGATTTTGTTACAACATGCAATTCAGCTAAATTGGACATATTGTAGACTGGTCCTCTTCCTTTACTGCGCACGCTACACAAATGTTGTGCAGACAGCTAGCTGAGGCGAGGCATTAGGGCTGGAATATTGCTCGGTGCATTTCCGGGCATCAATACTCAATAATATACCCGAAAACTCATTCACATGTCATCGTTCTCCTGACTTAACGATTCTATAGGTTTATGTGCTTGGTAATGGAACCTTGAAAGTTTATAGCTAAATCTTCCACCAAAAATAAATCAAACTGATGTTCAGATATGAGAAAACATACAAATATTTTTTTCTCTGAAGAATGGAGAGAAACAATTTCTTTGGAAACCACAACACACTTTATTACAGGACTTCCACCAATAAATTTCTCTTTTTCGGTTCAAAATCTAGGGAATATTTATTTTTCTGTAATTTCTGAAATATTTAAAAGAGAAAACCCAAACCTTCTTTTCTGCATTTTTTATTTTTCATCTGTAAATAAACCATATTTTACCATGACATTGATAAATGCTTGATTCTGATTGGTTTGAAAGTGGTTTCCTATTTGCTACGAAAACCCCTTTCAAATATATTAAGGCGTTTTGCAAAAAACCCGTTGTTGCGCCATGGTAGAATGGAGATAAACCTACTGTATTTAGCTAAAGCGTTCGGTTCCAAATTAAAATAAAAGAGGTATCTACTCTACAGTGGGACTACACCAGATTTCAAAACACAGTAGGTTTAATTCCTAAATACTCAGAGATCCCCCATTTTCTTTCCATAGCTGGATATCACCAACAGAGCAAGAACTGCCATTCTGAACTCTGATGGGAGATCGTACCGTGTGGGCACTCCAGCTGATATTCTGTGTAAGTTGGATGATGGCAAAGTGGTTGTAGGGCAAGAGGTTGTCAACATATCGCAACAAGTATCAGGGACCCGTTCCACAAAGCGATCGTAGAGTTACGACTGTCGTAAGTCTATGTTAAAGTATAGGAGTTACGGTCGCCTTAGCGCTACGTTCGCTTTTTGGAACGGGGCCCTGCCTGGAGACAAGGGACCGTGGAGTTACGACTGTCGTAAGTCTCGTACTTAGCATTAAACTTACGCCAATCGTAGCCCTTGCTATTGAAGCGCTACGACAGTCGTAATTAACTCTCTACACTCGGATCCATAAGAGAAGAATGGGCAATCTCATTAAATCAGATCTTAGTTCTCCCTGTTGCTAAGCAAAGATCTGAGGACATCCCAATACGGGTCACGTCAGAACGACCTTTCATCCGGTCAATCAAAGCGTCGCTTACCATATCATGAAAGTGACAGTCGACAGCAACGGCCCGTACGACTGATTCCGTCAAAATTATCGTGTCTCTCGCTTCCGTGGGATAAACATTTGAACGGATGAGACGTTGCACAGTACGTGGGAAGCACTGCCATACAATCTCAACCATATATTAGACATTCCGGAATGTTCGTTTGTTCAGTTTTTAAAATTTTAATCGAGAACTGTGTCAACATAATTTTTAAGTGTAGTCTGTAATCGAATTCGCCAGGTTGAAACGAGAAGCTCGAGAAAGCGGCTTCTAATTGGCTGATGTCGGCTTCTTGTCAGTCATTTCAGTGGTCTGTCAAAGTTCGCGAATGGTCGGTCTGGCGTGACCCGTAATGAGATGTTCTCAGATCATTGCTTAGTGGCAGCGAGTTACTTTAGATTTGTATGAGACTGAGAGAATGGGTTGTAGGGGTGCACATCCTTGTTTTTGAAACGTGTTAAAGCGTTTGTCCGATCGAACAGAAGAATGGGTGTTCGACCCCCCTACCGCGTAATACCAAAAGACATGACCAAAAAGTACTTATTGCTCCGTTATTAACTCAAATACTCATCACTCATTTACTCACATGTCATTTCTATTGTGATACAACTGAATAAGTCACGTCAATGTTGCCCGTGAAGATCCGGGGTAGAATAGGTCTTCAACAACCCATGCTTGCCGTAACAGGTGACAAACGGGATCGTGTGGTCAGGCTCGCTGACTTGGTTGATGCATGTCATCGATGCTCATGTTGTCAATCACTGGATTGTCTGGTCCAGACTCGTTTATTTACGGACCGCCGTCATACAGCTGGAATATCGCTGAGTGCGGCGATAAACAACAAACAAACAAATACATGTCAATGTCATGTCCTCTCCACAGACAACGCCGACGGAGGCTCCCACGACTGGGCTCGCTTGACGGAGAATATTCAGTACTCGATGACCTATGAACTCCGACCCGCCAGTGGGGGTCTCGAGGGCTTTGTGCTGCCAACCTCTCAGATTGCCCCTTGCAGTAAGGAAGTGTGGGAGTCTCTATATGCCATCGCCAGCAACTTGTAACAAGGATCCTGATTGGCTGCAGGGAGTCACAACTTTGTAATTGTCAGATGAAATGTCATTGGATGAGACAGCAAGCAAAACACCGACGGAAAATTTTTAACATAGCCTGTCGCTTGAATTGATAATATACCAGTTGTGTAATATCCTGTATACTGTCGCCTTGTTCAGAGTTGATAAATAAATTAATCAAATACTGTTGATTCGTTTTTTGTTTTTTTTGACGTTTTAAGGCAACGCTCAGCAATATTTCAACTCTATGGCGGAGGTCTGTAAATAATCGAGTCTGGACCATACAATCCAGTAATTGACATAATAAGCATCGATCTGGGCAATTGGGATACAATGACAAGCATCAACCAAGTCAGCGAGCCTGACCACCCGATCCCGTTAGTCGCCTTTTACGACAAGCATAGTCGCCATTTACAAGCGCGGCACGATGATGACCTATTCTACCCCGGATCTTCACGGGTGAATAAAATCCTGACTGGAAATGCCACTGTCAGTTTCATCTTCTGACCCACGCCACCATGACTTATAGTGACTGAGTGTTGACATATTTTATATCAGTGAGTGAGTGAGTATGGTTTAACGCCGCTTTTAGCAATATTCCAGCAATATCACGGCGGGGAACACAAGAAATGGGCTTCACACATTGTACCCATGTCGGGAATCGAACCCGGGTCTTCGGCGTGACGAGCGAACGCTTTAACCACTAGGCTACCCGACCGCCCCTTATATGGTATTAATATCAAAAGACGCAAGGGTGAGATTATATTTTTTTTTTTTGTTTTACACATTTTATTTCACCTTTTCCCTGTTACATGAGGAGGATGGCCATCCAGGGCAATGGTCAGGGTGAGATTATATTTATCAGAGACCATATAATAGCTTATATTATATGGTCTCTGTATTTATCATCCAAAATATTGTTTTCAGGAGGTGGCAGACCCTGTTATTTGAAGCGTTCTCTTGTCGCGGCGAAGGCCCGATTCGATTCCCAACGCATATGGGTACAATATATGAATCCCATATCTGTTTTTTCCGCAGTGATATTGTTGGAATATGGCTAAAATCATACTCACACAGACCAAGACCATGTAGGATGACGTGGTAGTGTACCCAGACCATGTAGGATGACGTGGTAGTGTATCCAGGCCATGTAGGATGACATGGTAGTGTACCCAGGCCATGTAGGATGACGTGGTAGTGTACCCAGGTCATGTAGGATGACATGGTAGTGTACCCAGACCATGTAGAAGGATGTGGTAGTGTACCCAGGCCATGTAGGATGACGTGGTAGTGTACCCAGGTCATGTAGGATGACATGGTAGTGTACCCAGACCATGTAGAAGGATGTGGTAGTGTACCCAGGCCATGTAGGATGACGTGGTAGTGTACCCAGGTCATGTAGGATGACATGGTAGTGTACCCAGGCCATGTAGGATGACGTGGTAGTGTACCCAGACTATGTAGGATGACGTGGTAGTGTACCAAGACCATGTAGGATGACGTGGTAGTGTACCCAGGTCATGTAGGATGACGTGGTAGTGTACCCAGACTATGTAGGATGACATGGTAGTGTACCCAGGTCATGTAGGATGACGTGGTAGTGTACCCAGACTATGTAGGATGACGTGGTAGTGTACCCAGGTCATGTTGGATGACGTGGTAGTGTACCCAGACTATGTAGGATGACGTGGTAGGTTACCCAGACTATGTAGGGTGACGTGGTAGTGTACCCAGACTATGTAGGATGACGTGGTAGGTTACCCAGACTATGTAGGATGACGTGGTAGTGTACCCAGGTCATGTAGGATGACGTGGTAGGTTACCCAGACTATGTAGGGTGACGTGGTAGTGTACCCAGGTCATGTAGGATGACATGGTAGGTTACCCAGACTATGTAGGGTGACGTGGTAGTGTACCCAGACTATGTAGGATGACGTGGTAGGTTACCCAGACTATGTAGGGTGACGTGGTAGTGTACCCAGACTATGTAGGATGACGTGGTAGGTTACCCAGACTATGTAGGATGACGTGGTAGTGTACCCAGGTCATGTAGGATGACGTGGTAGGTTACCCAGACCATGTAGGATGACGTGGTAGTGTACCCAGGCCATGTAGGATGACGTGGTAGTGTACCCAGACCATGTAGGATGACGTGGTAGTGTACCCAGGCCATGTAGGATGACATGGTAGTGTACCCTGGCCATGATGGTTTGGTATTGTGTGTGAGCAATTGTACAATGATAAAAAAGACAAATCTTTGATGACGTGACAGTGTACCCAGGTGTGAGCAATTGTACAATGATAAAATAGACAAATCTTGTATTAGTATTTTATTTGTGTAAAATATTACTTCCAAAAATACTGATATCATTGTTTGTTAAATCATCTGGGGACATTATTAACAATGGTATATTTATTAACATAATGGCATTACATGTTTTTATTTTTTGTTTGTTTGTTGTTTAACGCCTCACTCAGCAATATTCAAGCTATATGACGGCGGTCTGTAAATAACCGAGTCTGGACCAGACAATCCAGTGATTGACATCATGAACATCGATCCACACAATTGGGACAAGATAAAATGCATCCACCAAGTCAGCGAGCCTGACCACCCGATCCCTTTAGTTGCCTTTTACGACAAGCATAGTCGCCTTTTACGGCAAGTTTGGGTTGCTGAAGGCCTATTCTACCCCGGAATCTTTACGGAAATGACTATACAGCCTCAGCCTATATCCTCAACAATCACATCTTACAACAATATAATCAGTCCTGGTTGTCGTTGTACAAAGCCATCTTAGCGCTTAGGTGATCGTAACTCCCATACTTTAACATAGGCTTACAATCATCGTAGCGCTAAGGTTGTTTTGTACAACGGCACCCTGGTAGGGAAAACATTCATCCTCCTTAAAAGCTCAAAATCTTTGTTGTTGCCTTACAGATTGCATCCTTAGACCACAATAAATGAACTGTTCCATTTTCATCCAAACAATAAAAAATTATGGACGGGAGGCATTTAAAAAAAAATATCATATATATTTTCGGAACAAACAGTTTCTGTTTGTTTGTTTGTTGTTTGATGCTGCACTCAGCAATATTCAAGCAATTGACACCATGAGCATCAATCCACACAATTGGGATACAATGACATGCATCAACCAAGTCAGCGAGCCTGACCACCCGATCCCGTTAGGCTCCTCTTACGACAAGCATAGTCATTGTCTTCACAGCTGTTTTCTAAAGATGCAATCCATCATAATATTATGTTTATATCTCGACACATCTGCACTGCTTGGTTGTCATGGCAACCTGGACGTCTTCCACTTTGAACTTGAATTGTTATTGACAATCATATGTCAAACATCGTCCCATACGCGAGGCTTGGTTGTCATTGCAACCTGGATGTCATTATCAACCATATGGCACATCACGACCCATCTGGCACAACTAGGCCGTCATGACCTTGGGCTTCATCGTCTGACCTCTGACAGAAGTCCTTGATCATCTTGTAGACTTTCAGTGACTCGTTGATGCTCTCGGTGGTCTGAGCCATCTCCTGACTGAACTGGACGAACGCCTCACCGCTGTCGTCACTGCGCCGGATGTTAGCATAGGCATTCTCCGCCATCAACACAATCTGCTGTTTCACATCTTCCAGCGAACAGCTGCCTTCGTTACTTGTTGAACTCTGATTGGTCAGAGGGCACATGCTCTGATTGGTCAATGGTGATATGTTCTGATTGGACAGTAAATATGGCACTTGATTAGCCAGCACACTCTCCTGGAATGTTTCTTGATGGAATGTTGTTGAATTCGGGGTTTCACTGTAAGATGGAATTTGATTGGTTGATGGAGCTGTTTCTGAAGTAGCTGGTATCTTATTGGTTGACTGAAGGGAATCATCACGTGAGGGTGAGTCCAGAGATGTTGATGGAATCTGCGAGATGCATCCTGAGTTCTGATTGGCTGTTAACTTATAAGATGGATTTTGATTGGCTTTTGGCAGTGGTGTATGGATCGAGGGTGTCTTCAAGTCACTGCAGCAGGCATCGCTTGGGGGAATACTCAGAGCTGAATGAATGAATGAATGAATGAATGAATGAATGAATGAATGAATGAATGAATGAATGAATGAATGAATGAATGAATGAATGAATGAATGAATGAATGAATGAATGAATGAATGGTATAGTTCACATTTCTTATACCAATAGAAACATTGAACATAAACATAACAAAACAACACATATATCACCTAACTTTATCCAAAAAATAATATAAATTCTTTTAAAGTTATTGTAACAACATTTTCACATTTTTGTAAAAATCCAACAGCCTATAAGAATATGTTTCCATGGAAACAACACAACAACCCCAATTTGAGTTTCTAAATTTCGCTGTTCTGTGATCTACCTACACTTCAACTTCTTTCGCTTCAGTCCGAGTCTCTGTGACGGGGTATTCAACCGTTTAGCCAGATGGTCCTGCCCAGTTTTCTTCAGTGAGTTGACAAACACCCTGAATCCCCGATCACATCGGCGCACAAGGTAGTTGAGAAGCTCCTCATTCATTGCCTCGCGGGTGTTCTTAATCTGAATACGTTTAACCTCTGTAACTGTGATGATACCATCTGCGATGAGGTCGTTGAAGACTTCGTCGGGTGTTATGTCGTTGGTGAGGTCAACTCGGTTGTCCAGAATTGCTTGCTTGTTCTCTTCTGTCATCAGTCGCTCACCTACAATACAGGAACCAGCATTAGGAGGGATGACCATCAAGGCTTGTTTGTTTGTTTGTTTAAGGCTGCACTCAGCAATATTCAAGCTATATGACGGCGGTCTGGAAGTAATCGAATCTGGTCCAGACAATCCAGTGATTGACATCATGATGTTTTTGTGTGTTTGTTGTTGTTTATTATCCCCGCACTCAGCAATATTCCAGCTATATGGCGGCGGTCTGGAAGTAATCGAATCTGGTCCAGACAATCCAGTGATTGACATCATAATGTTTTTGTTTGTTTGTTTAATGCTGCACTCAGAAATATTCCAGCTATATGACGGCGGTCTGGAAGTTATCAAATCTGGACCAGACAATCCAGTGATTGACATCATGATGTTTTTGTTTGTTTGTTTGTTTTTGTTTTTTATTGCCGCACTCAGCAATACTGTAAATCTTGAAATTAATGCAAGCTTGAATTAAATGCGAAAAATGCGAGTGGTCTTTGCTCTCATAATTAAACATCGCATTTATATCAACAATAAGACATTTTAGATAGCAGAAATACCAACTTAGACATTCGCTGAAAACAAACAACTATGTATTCCACATCACTTTTTATTGAGCAGTACCTATAGCAAGTATATAAACAATGTCATTCAAACACTAATTACATCCTGTGAATTGTCACTGCTTGGGTCAAGACAAGAGTTCTACTCACTTATGTAATCACTGATCGCACCTGCAAGTCTAGACAGACACCAGCCACGCAACACGGTGTCTTTGTTCTTTGCGACTGAGTCAAAGGCAGACACGAGCCAGAGCCAGAGCATACTCAGAGGACTTTTTCTTTAGATATAAATCCACTGATGCTTGAGAGGAGGGGGTTGTCGCATTGATATTGAGTCACATTTTTGGGTAGGGACCAGCGGTCGCATTCTTTTGGAGACGCATTAATTTCACGATTTACATTATTCCAGCTATATGACGGTGGTCTGGAAGTACCGGTAATCCAGTCTGGACCAACCAATCCAGTGATGGACATCATGAGCATCAATTTACGCAATTGGGATACGATGACGTGCATCAACCAATTCAGTGAGCCTGACCACCCGATGCCGTTAGTAGCCTCTTACGATAAGCATGGTCGCCTTTTACGACAAGCATGGTCGCCTTTTACGACAAGCATGGGTTGCTGAAGACCCAGACCATCAAGGGCATCATGACTACTGGTATAGTATAACTGTAATAGATCACACACTATAACAATAACGTTGCAAAATACACACAACTGTTGCAGTATTTCGATAGTTTCATTGTTATCATTCCCATCCAATCATACATCCTTGCATCCATCATTGCCAGTACCAGATACAGTGAGTATGAGTGAGTGAGTGAGTGAGTGAGTGGGTGGGTGGGTGTGTGTGTGTGTGTGTGTGTGTGTGTGTGAGTGAGTGAGTGAGTGAGTGAGTGAGTGAGTGAGTGAGTGAGTGAGTGAGTGAGTGAGTGAGTGAGTGAGTGAGTGTAATGCCGCTCTGAACAGTATTCAAGTTATATCACAGTGTGACAGCTTAATGTAAGAGGAAAGCCCGAAGTGATGCAGATTTCAGACGTTAACCACTTGGTTGAAACCCATGAGCATGCCATAGGGATGCAACTCTGCACAGTGAATTGTGGTGCCTTAGACGACTGGGCCACCCATACCCCCCAACGATCAGTATTTGACACAACCAGTGTCAGATATTGTCAGTGTCAGGTCAATATCAGACACAACCCGTATCATACATGGCCAACAGGTACACCCAGTACCAAACACGGTCATAAGACACAACAAGAACCACAGACGGTCAATATCAGACGCGATGAGTATCCCATGCGGCCGAAATCACACATGACCAGCATCAGACACACCAGCAATAAGCAGGTACCCACATATCGACTTTCCTTGAGCACATCACGGCGGTAAGACTTGACAAACAAAAGCCAGATTAATTTCTTAATTAATCAAACCTAGTGAATATCAACAATACAAAGACTCTTTCCATTAGGACTTACACTTAATTTTGAACACTGACATCGTTATTATGGTGCAACAATTCAAGGGTCGGTTTACTAGCCCGTTGGCCCATGGGCAGTTAAAATTACAAAGGGCCTGCTGAAACGTAAAGTAGATGGCCGTCTGGCTAATTTCACCCCTTCTCCGTGTAAGTTTAATTCTTTTAATTGGATCATCTTGGTAGAATGACAACCGGTCGTAATGTTGTGTGTGTACGACTTCTTTATTTGCTAAAAAATCACCATGAAATTAAGGCAAATGGAAGCCAAGATGTAATCTCAGAGTGCAGGAAAAAAGGTTTCAGGGGTGAGGAGTTCTAAAATTTTCAGAGCTTTCCGCAGCTTCAGCCACTTCATGGCATCCAACATTTAGTTGTAGGCCACTTTGCTTGCAGAAGCGCCAGTAACTTTTAAAAGGCGCAAGCCCTGCTGGCTACTTACCAATTCCTTGTTAAATCTACCCCTGTAATTCAGCTCATTTGGAGCAAAATTCCCTTTCAACAATTACATTTGTTCATTTTGAACCATCCTTACCAAAGTTTAATAAAAATAACTAAATTCTGATTTGACAATTTTGAAAATTGGCTTAAAATGTTTTAGTTGAAGTTCCAAATGCCATGACCTGTCCACAACTCTGAAGACCACCCATACAACTTACCACAGTCCCCTTCTCCGTCCTCCCCACACAGCAGGTCTGCCAGATGACCTTGACATGACTCCCTCAATGATGCCTCCAGAACAGAGAACGCCTTGTCGGATCTTCTAACAACATGGTCCAGCAGCTCAGCGTTCATGCCCTCCCATGTGGCCTTGGCCTTGATCCGCCTCTCCTCAGCCAGCGTTAGAATCTCCTTTGCAGACAGACGACAGAACAGATCATCGGGGACCATGTTCTCGGCCAGCCGCGCCCTGTTCCGTGTCAAGAGGTTCTTGTGGGCTGAAGTCATCGGTCCTGCAACCAGAGGCAGCTTTTCGTTTGTTTCCTTGTTTCTTACTCAACATAGCAGTCATGAAAACTGAAAACTACAGCAAAACCACAGCCTGTTGATCAAGTCCACACCAATCTTCTCGAGGCAAGAGAGTTAATTGACTTTAATAGTCTAGTTTCCACCCTTGCCGAACTAGACTGGAATTCCTGGGCTCGATCGTAGCGCCACCAGTGACAGTTACGAGTTATGTCCCTTCTATGCCTCTCCTATGGACCAATTAGATTCCACCTCTCGTATCACTTGCATTTGCTTCAAACAAAACGGAGGCGCCCAGTCAAGACGATTTGATGGATAGTCAAGATCTATATATTGTGATAAAACGAGTCTTACATCGCAAAGTGCATCAAATTACGTGAGCACCTTGATTAAAAACATGAAAAGATTTAGAAAATATCTGTTGACAACGCGTTAGAGGTGCACATGCTTTTCAAATCCTGCAATCTACCAAAATCTGCATGACAATTTACGAACCGGATTTCGATTTCGGAGCACGATTTTGATTGGACTATTCATAGACTCGTCCAGCCAAAATGTAGCTCCATAATATCAGCCTAGTTCGGCAAGGGTGGAAACTGGACTTTTATAGTCAGTTAACTCACTTGCCTCGGGAAGATGGTCCACACCAGGCTCTGATATCTCGGAGTTTTTACTCTAATTTGAAAATATCAATTAATTTCTTTCTCTGATGCCTATTGTGAGTAATATTATCTGGAACACTGACTTGGCCCTGAGGAATCAAACCAAATACAAGCAAATGGACTTAACATGTGGACTATCCCACAGGGCGAGAAAGACAACAGATATATATACCAACCTTCTTCAGCTGCTGAAGAACATCCTTCACAAGGATCTCCATCAGCCTCGTAGTGGTCATCTTCCCCTGACCTTTGACCTGGAGGGGTCAGTGTGTCATGACCTTCATCCAACTTCCTCTTGGTGTTTTGCGCCATGTCTCACCTTCAATGTAAGAGTGAGTGAGTGAGTTGGGTTTAACGCCGCTTTTAACAGTATTACAGTTATATCACGGCGTGTCAGCTTAATGTGGGAGGAAAGCCCGAAGTGATGCAGGTCTCAGACGTTTACCACTTCGGTGAAAACCACGAGCACGGGAATGGTGCTGACAAACCTAGAAACATAATCGGGGCGAACTGGGATTCGAACCCACAATCATAGGTTTCTGGCGTGCCCAAGGGACGCATCTCTGCACAGCGAATCACGGCGCCTTAGACGACTGGGCCACCCTTGCCCCCCTTCAATGTAAGAAATTATATGGGTTCAACAACCAGGGTGGATGTCATAGTGTGAAACAATACTTAGGTCTACCTGAGCATTTTGATGTGATGATACAAAAAACAATACGTTTTTTTCTGTATCGATACAAGATGATACACTTGCTAAAATAAATTACTTACTACTCCTTTAATGACACAAGCGTTTTTGTCAGTCAAATAATGCAAAATGTGTTGAAATTAGTTTTTCATGTTCACTACTAAAAAGAGCTGCTATGAACATGTGTCTACAGCTAGCTTTTCCTTTGGAACCTGCTCTGAAATATTTTTAGTCAAGTAGTTGTCATGTCATTTGACGTAAATATGTGTATCACGATACACAATGTACCGTGATGTGGCCGTTTCGTTTCATCCCTGGATTTTATGTTTCTTTTTCACTGCACTTTTTTGTTTGTTTGTTGTTTAACGCCACACTCAGCAATATTCCAGCTATATGATGGCGGTCTGTAAATAATCAAGTCTCGACTAGACAATCCAGTAATTGACATTATGAGCATTGATCCAAGCAATTGGGATACGATGACATGCATCAACCAAGTCAGTGAGCCTGACCACCCGATCCCGTAAGTCGCCCCTTACGACAAGCATGGTCCCCTTTTACGGCAAGCATGGGTTGCTGAAGACCTATTCTACCCTGAATCTTCACGGGTCCAGTTTTACTGCAAAACAGTTATTAATTAAATGAGTACATAGCAAAGGTTGTTGATCTGCAGTGTGCATAAACAGATTGTGTGAAATGAAAGTTTACTTCAATATGCTCAGATCTTGTATACATGGTATACATTTAAAGCAAGTGATATTTACAAGCCTATTTGCCTGTGTTAGGGTAGGTTACCCCTTAGCCCTTGGATCCCCTTTAAGATCAAACCCATGCTTGCCGTAAAAGGCGACTATGCTTGTCGTAACAGGCGACTAACAGGATCGGGTGGTCAGGCTCGCTGACTTGGTTGATGCATGTCATCGTGTCCCAATTGCCTAGATCGATGCTCATGATATTAATCAATGGATTGTCTGGTCCAGACTCGATTATTTACAGACTGTCGTCATATAGCTGGAATATTGCTGAGTGCGGCGTTAAACAACAAACAAACCAACCAATCCAACCCTTTACGGTCAATCAGCCCTTTATGATTATTAGGGTTAGGTACCCGTTTTGTGGCTATTATAGATTCTATAGCGGCGCCTATTTTTTCTCTCACAAAAACAAGGAGAAAGCAGGGTGAAATGCTTTACAAATATTTTGGCTCCTGGAAACTGACCTGGAACAATCACACAAGCCACTTTCACCTGCTGCATTTATTCAGTACTGATTCAAAAGCTAACTCGCCCTTGTGTCGTCACTAGCCATGCTCATGCCTCCCTCATTCCTTACTATTATCCACATCATCCTCATAGTGTTCCCTATCACACTTTTCTGTCACAAAAATCCCCCAACGAAATATTAAATACCATGTCATTCATGAGTATCTGCGAGTTCGACGTCTGACGCCTAGTGCCGTTTTTAGTTGGCGCCATTTCGGCTCATTCCTCACCACTCAGTATCTTGTACATTATGGAATGGGATGAGTGTGCCAAATGGCATCAGGATCACCTGTAAGTATCCGTAGACTAAAGTTTCAAGACACCTACCCGTAACCCTCGTAAGTGTCCTTTACCCAATCGACCCTTTTCATTCAGTTCCATAATGGTGTAGGCATGACTAGGTAAATTTGCACTAAATTAAACAGTGTGAATGTAGCTCAGTTGGTTAGCTGTCGGGTTAACAATCCGAAGGTTCCGAGTTCGCGTCCCGCAGATTCTCACAAAATACTGTTGCTTGTCTTTGAGACACGTGACCTACAGCAGAGATCGTCCTCACGAGAAGTTGTGGAACTGTATTCGAAAGGTGCTCTGCTTTTTGCATACTTTTTTGTGGAAATTGCAGGTAATTGGCCTCCCCTGATCTGAATGAGGCCTAAAATCGCAACAAAACTTACCATGACTTTAACATAAAACATCATGAAAATATCCACAGAGGGTACAAATCATATAAGAAATTGGCCCAACTGCCTCTCCATACATTTTATTTTTAGCGAGAGTATCACGTGATGGTCATGTGTTTTTTCGGAAACGCATGAATCAGACGATTTATCACTTATTTTTTGACAGCACTAAAACTTTTTAAGACAATTTTTTCGTAGTCGTCAGCTGCATGTCTTAGTGATCTCTGTTTCCAACTGATATGTTTGTCAAACTGTATCATTAACTTACACTTTGTAGCTTGATTCTGTTTATTTTGTATCGGGACTGCGTTTGTTGAGAAACAAGCTTCCGTTGATGTCACATCTCGTAAAATATGAGAAACAACGGGATTAAATATGGCCGAGCGGAAATATATGTAGAACGAATATATCGTCCGATCATAGGTTTTTGCAAATCATTACGTTTTCGGACGGTAATGTTTACCGCGATTACTCGCGCTATAACGGTGTGTAGAATCTCACAGACATTGAAAATACTCAGATGATGGCTTGTTTTTAAGAAAAGTTGTATTTTATAAGTGAGTGAGATGTTTTACAGTTGTTCATGTGATAAAATAGAAAACTATGAATGTTTCTTAAGCATCCGAAAGCCCATAACACACTGGAATAAATATTGAAAAATCCTGATCAGTTTGAACCATAAGCACGTTACAACAAAACGTCCATGACAACCCTTTCAATTCACTTACCTAAAGTTCCCAAAGTGACTGTCACTAGGGCCAGGTCATCGAGTTAAACACGCCAAGCGATATTCAATCCACATCAACCCATACATGTGCAGTTTGAGATCGCCGCCATTTTCATGGGATGCAATAGAGTTACCTCCCTTGGTTCGCTGAGTACTTCATTTACTGCATATAGCTGTGCCGTCATTTTAGTACATCGCCAATGAATCCATACTTTAAAGTTACATAATAGGAAATAAAATCGGTGCGGATTGTTTTTCATATTGAAATATTGGTTGGAAAGACTGGTGTTATCTGCTAAAAGGTCTCGCAGAACCTGTTTTGTTCGTATGTTCGACACACAGGGAGCGGGTCAAAACGGCCCCAAGTCAGATCGGCTACAGAACGGACACGTTCGGAGACCTGAAATTTGGAAATTTTACGTGCGCTTTTCGAAAGTAGAGGCCTCCCGAGGGGGCGTTGACAATTTTGAATGGTGAGTGTGTGTGTGTGTGTGTGTGTGTGTGTGTGTGTGTGTGTGTGTGTGTGTGTGTGTGGTTATCTTAGTTAATGGTTTTAGATTAGCGGTGTTTTGTTTGTGAGGGTTATTTATACGGCTATTTATATTTCGGATATGCCCCTCAGCGCTTTAAGTAACCAACAGGTGGCGGACTGTACAGGAGCTCTGCTTCCAACGATTTCAAAAATGGAGTCCCTAGATACATTTCCACTAAAGACAAAATGTAAGATGCTAGTTTTACACATTGCTTGTTTCTTAATTTAAGTTGACCGCACCACATGGTACTATCTGTATCAGTGTTGTACAGCTAGTAACATAGAAACGACTTGCTTCCATTATCATTGTTTGTTGAAATAATTAAATAATTAAATAATTATGTGGTGGAGCTGCTTCTAATCCTGTTTATTTGTTGTTTAACGCCCATCTTCCCAGGCAAGGGAGTTACCTGACTGTAAAAGTCCAGTTTCCACCATTGCCGAAAAAGGCTGGAATTCCGGAGTTACGTTTTGACTGGACTTTGGAGTGAGTGAGCGAGTGAGTTTGCTTTTAGCAATATTTCAGCAATATCACGGCGGGGGACACCAGAAATGGGCTTCACACATTGTACCCATGTCGGGAATCGAACCCGAGTCTTCGGCGTGACGAGCGAACGCTTTAACCACTAGGCTACCCGACCGCCCGACTGGACATCCGGTTCGTAAACAATTCAACGTGCGTAAACAATTTCGATCGACTCAAACAAGCACTAGTCTTGACCCTCCGACACGTTTTGACGAGCGAACCCTTCAATAATTTGATGAGCGAAGGATTCAGCGAGCAACTAGTCTCTCCCCCAGCCACGTTTTGACTAGCGAACGGTTCAATATCTTGATATTGATATTTTTATTATATTATGAATTTATATTATAACTTTTCTCAAGTACCGCCGTTGGTGGGTCTTTCTGAGAAATAAACTGGACTGAACAATTTGACGAATGAAAGCTTCAACAAGCACGAGACTGACCCTCTGCCATGTTTTGACGAGCGAACGGTTCAGCAATTTGTGGTGGGTTTTTTTATATCTGACAGACGCTGGCAGTTGTTTTCAATAAGTAAGCAATGTCTTACTTCTAATATAAACATGAATTGTCGTATGAAGCACGGTCTTGTGGGGCAGCCTTGTGGTTACTTACAGATGTGACTTAAATGGAAGACCCGCCTGCGTGGTATAGTGGATATGGCATTTAACGCGGATAATAAATAAAATTTCACACTCGTTCTCGTTATAAATCATTTTAACGAGGTTTCGCTGTCAGATACCATTGTATCGTAAAAAAAGGTATGATAACGAGAGTGATAAGTAGTATTCCCTGTTTACCAATTGAAAATAACATCAAGTCAGACCTATAATGAAAGCTCTTAGCTTCGCCATCTTCTTTCATAACTTCAAATGTCTATAAAGTTAAATAATTGTCTGAGTCATTTTAGACCAATGTCAAAGTTGAAACTTTATCAGAACACGTTATAAGAGATTATTGGAACAAAAACCATCAAGTTTGGTCCAATCTGTAAGAGTGTTCGAGGTTTGAAAGGAGTTTGTTAAAAAAATTTTTTATGCCATGACCAATATCGATAGATTTGAGTTTAGAGTTGTATCTCATAGGAAACACCTGTACGTTTCGATTGCAATTAATGTATCGGGTCAGAATAGTCCCAGGCACCCACGGCCTGTCAGTAGCATCAGAACGTTGGCTGCTATGTTTGGCCTTATTGATGGTGTCGTTGAGGTCGTTGTTCATTCTATCAACCACTGGTTTGCTTGGCTCATCCTCAATTATAGAGCTGACATATTGCTGTTTCCGACGGACACCAACATTGATTCACGTACATCCATATCAGTGTCTTTTCGTTGTACGGTGTTTTTGTGATGAGTGAGTTGGGGAGTTATCTTTAACGCCGCATTTGACAGCACAGTAAACTACGGTTATGACGAACTCAAAGGGACCACTAATTTTAGTTCGTTTTAACCGTAGTTCGTTATAAGCATATATACAGCACAACTACAGCAAATAGTCGTTATATCCGTCAGTTCGTTATAAGCGTGTTCGTTAAAATCGTAGTTTACTGTATTCTAATTATATCACGGCGTGTCAGCTTATTGTGTGAGGAAAGTGATGCTAGTCTCAGACATTTTCCACTTAGGTGAAACCAGCAAGAACGGGTATGGTGCTGAAAAACCTGGAAACCATAATCGGGGCGACCTGGGATTGGAATTCACATTTAAGGGGTTTCCGGCGTGCCCAAGGGACACAATTCTGCCCAGCAACCAGTGCTCCGTGACTCCATGTTTGTGATGAAAGATCCGTAATGATAACAAGGCACCTTGAATGTAAACTGTTTATTTCAACCATACACAAGGGACAAGGCTATGGTGTACAGACTGGTACTACAAAAACGTTTCAAACCAACAGTTCGTTTATACAGTTTCAGAAACAGTCACAAAGGTTTAATGTTATATATTTGTCTCACAAATAATCAGAAAAATCATGATGTCATACGAGACAATTACATGTGGTTGAGTGGTGGTGGAAGTAGTATGGCATATCATATGATCCAAAGAAGTAGAGGAACTGAGACATATCATATGATACAAGGAAGTAGAGGAACTGACTCATATCATATGGTACAAGGAAGTAGAGGAACTGACTCATATCATATGATACAAGGGAGTAGAGGAACTGACTCATATCATATGATGCAAGGAAGTAGAAGAACTGACTCATATCATATGATACAAGGAAGTAGGGGAACTGAGACATATCATATGGTACAAGGAAGTAGAGGAACTGACTCATATCATATGATACAAGGGAGTAGAGGAACTGACTCATATCATATGATGCAAGGAAGTAGAAGAACTGACTCATTTCATATGATACAAGGAAGTAGAGGAACTGACACATATCATATGATACAAGGAAGTAGGGGAACTGACTCATATCATATGATACAAGGAAGTAGGGGAACTGTCTCATATCATATGATACAAGGAGGTGGGGGAACGGAGACATATCATATGATACAAGGAGGTAGGGGAACTGTCTCATATCATATGATACAAGGAGGTAGGGGAACGGAGACATATCATATGATACAAGGAGGTAGGGGAACGGAGACATATCATATGATACAAGGAAGTAGAGGAACTGAAACATATCATATGATACAAGGAAGTGGAGGAACTGACTCATATCATATGATACAAGGAAGTAGGGGAACTGAGACATATCATATGGCACAAGGAAGTAGAGGAATTGACTCATATCATATGATATAAGGAAGTAGAGAAACTGACTCATATCATATGATACAAATGAGTAGAGGAACTGACTCATATCATATGATGCAAGGAAGTAGAAGAACTGACTCATATCATATGATACAAGGAAGTAGAGGAACTGACTCATATCATATGATACAAGGAAGTAGGGGAACTGACTCATATCATATGATACAAGGAAGTAGGGGAACTGTCTCATATCATATGATACAAGGAGGTGGGGGAACGGAGACATATCATATGATACAAGGAGGTAGGGGAACTGTCTCATATCATATGATACAAGGAGGTAGGGGAACGGAGACATATCATATGATACAAGGAGGTAGGGGAACGGAGACATATCATATGATACAAGGAAGTAGAGGAACTGAAACATATCATATGATACAAGGAAGTGGAGGAACTGACTCATATCATATGATACAAGGAAGTAGAGGAACTGAGACATATCATATGATACAAGGAGGTAGGGGAACTGTCTCATATCATATGATACAAGGAAGTAGAGGAACTGACTCATATCATATGATACAAGGAAGTGGAGGAACTGACTCATATCATATGATTCAAGGAAGTAGAGGAACTGAGACATATCATATGATTCAAGGAAGTAGAGGAACTGACTCATATCATATGATACAAGGAAGTAGAGGAACTGACTCATATCATATGATACAAAGAAGTAGAGGAACTGACTCATATCATATGATACAAGGAAGTAGAGGAACTGACTCATATCATATGATACAAGGAAGTAGAGGAACTGACTCATATCATATGATACAAAGAAGTAGAGGAACTGAGACATATCATATGTTATACCCCACTCCCGGTTCGTTTCCATGGCATACCTTATTTCTAACTGTATGTGCCGATACACGTACACTCTTCCTGAGACTAAGTAAGTGTTAATGTGGTTCGCGATCTTAACGTTCGAACATGTAAAATTACAAAGCATGACTTGAACTCACATTTCAAAGAATAACTCTGCCTTCACGTCAGGCACGTAACACGTGTGCTTTCAGGGCTGAGATGACTTTTACGCTGTTTTCATGTCAGGACTTTGACATATTGAATAATCATTTTACAGACGCTTTAAACAATTTTCGTTTCTTTCATCACGTTGTAGTTGTGCAAAGTTAATACAGTTTATATCATATTTGCTTACACGAAGAAGGTCATAAGACAGTTATACCCACCTTTCCTTGGTGTATCGGTCAGTAACCCAACACTTTTAGCAGTGAAACCTTGGATGTGCCTCGGCGATTCCGCTACCGAAACTGATATTAACCGCTACACCTCGGGATGAAAGGGTATAACTACTACATACAAGGAAGCAGAGGAAGCTTACCATCTGCAACATTCAAGCAATGTCTTTGGATAATTGATTCGTGTTTGTCTTATTTTATGAACAAAAACAAAGGTGAGTCAGTGAACAAAATTAAAGTTACGATTTCCCAAAATATATATTTTATATGGAACGAACAATGTCTACAGTAACAAGCCCCTATGTGGCTACGAGGTGTTTAGAGAACATGTGCAGTGCAAGTCTACAGTGCTACACTAATCTGTGAAATTATGCAATACATATGTCACAATACGTAGTTACCACTTGACGTTCCACAACACATAATTACCATCCCCACGAAGTTCCAAAACAGGTAATTTACATTCCCCACGAAGTTCTACAATACCTAATTACGATACCCCGTGAAGTTCTACGGTACATAATGACTATACCCCATGAAGTTCTACAGCACTTAATTACCATACACTGTGAAGGTCTATAATACGTAATAACCACACACGACGAAGTTCTATAAAACTTTATTACAATACCCATGAAGTTCTACAATACGTAATTACCATACACCATGAGTGTGTGAGTGAGTGAGTTGGGTTTAACGCCGCCTTTAACAGTATTCCAGTTATATCACGGCGTGTCAGCTTAATGTGGGAGGAAAGCCCAAAGTGATACAGGTCTCAGACGTTTACCACTTCGGTGAAACCCAAGAGCACGGGTATGGTGCTGACAAACCTAGAAACATAATCGGGGCGAACCGGGGTTCGAACTCACAATTATAGGTTTCTGGCGTGCCCAAGGGACGCAACTCTGCACAGCGAACCGCGGCTGCTTACGCCATGAAGCTGTATAGTATATAATGACACTACCCTATGTAGTTCTTCATCACTCAATTACCATAGCCTGTGAAGGTCTACGTTACATAACTATCGTACCCCGTGAGGCTCCACAGTACATAGCTACCATGCCCCTTGAAGTTCTACAGTACATAGCTACCATGTCCCTTGAAGTTCTACAGTACATAGCTACCATGCCCCTTGAAGTTCTACAGTACATAGCTACCATGTCCCTTGAAGTTCTACAGTACATAGCTACCATGCCCCTTGAAGTTCTACAGTACATAGCTACCATGTCCCTTGAAGTTCTACAGTACATAGCTACCATGTCCCTTGAAGCTCTACAGTACATACCTACCACGACCCTTGAAGTTCTACAGAACACGATTATGTATGCAGTGAGAGTCTACATCACCTAATTACCATGACCCACGAAGTTCTACAGTTCACTATCACCGTACCCCGTGAGGTTCTACAATATGTAATAACCATACCCCATCTCATTGAACCACTCTGTCAACATGGCACTGTGGTCCTCCAGCCACAACTTCCTGGTGTTGAATCCAGACAAGGCTGAACTGACGACAGAAGGACTGATAGATTTTGTGTTGTTTGCCAGGAGTTCAAGCTGTAATGAATACAAAATTATTTTGACACAATAACATTGAACTTGTGAGCGAATGAGTACGGATTTACACCACCTTTAGCAATATTCCAGCACTATCAAGCAACATGGGCTTCACACTTTGTAGACGTGGGGAATCGAACACGAACATGGGAGTGACGTGCGAACGCTACAACCTCTAGGCTACATCGTCGCCCAGTGAGTGAGTGAGTATGGTTTTACGCCGCTTTTAGCAATATTCCAGCAATATCACGGCGGGGGACACCAGAAATGGGCTTCACACAATGTACCCATGTCGGGAATCGAACCCGGATCTTCAGCGTGACGAGCGAACGCTTTAACCACTAGGCTATCCGACCGCCCCTTCGTCGCCCAGAGACAATACACTAGTTAAACATGATGCAATATAACCATACCATATCCTTTCGAAATAACTTAAAAGATGCTTCCAAGTTGATAAACTTGGAGTTATATTTGGAGAATATTATCAATCTTCCGGAAAATACGCGGTGGGGGAACATCAGATATCGGCTTGAGACACTTTACTAATGCGAGGAAACGAATCAAGGTCCAAGAGTGAGTAAGTGAGTGAGTATGTTTTACGCCGCTTTTAGCAATATTCCAGCGATATCACGGCGGGGGACACCAGAAATGGGCTTCACACAATGTACCCATGTCGGGAATCGAACCCGGATCTTCAGCGTGACGAGCGAACGCTTTAACCACTAGGCTATCCGACCGCCCCTTCGTCGCCCAGAGACAATACACTAGTTAAACATGATGCAATATAACCATTCCATATCCTTTCGAAATAACTTAAAAGATGCTTCCAAAAAGTTGATAAACTTGGAGTTATATTTGGAGAATATTATCAATATTCCGGAAAATACGCGGTGGGGGAACATCAGATATCGGCTTGAGACATTTTACCAATGCGAGGAAACGAATCAAGGTCTAAGAAATCCAAATACCAGACCTGGACCAAAGTGATCCAACAGTTTTGCACGAGTGAGTAAGTTTTTACGCCGCATTGGTCAATATTCCGGAAAATACGTGGTAGGGAACACCAGATATGGGGCAAGAGATTTTACCAATGTTAGAATCGATGTGACGTTAATCACTGGGCTGCCAACTGTCCCTCCATGTGTACGAGGGATGAGGATGAAGACACCATCAATGATGCAGTCACAGAGAAGTTACATAAGACATTGAACATTTTCCCCCAGTGTTTCATGGATCATGATATTAGTAAAATTATTCAACTTGTTAGACACGCAGACTCATCACCCAAGGTCAGATTATACACTTCAGCGTGAACGCTGACGTAGCAACATAATATTCACTGAAGATCAGATCACACACTTCAGAAGGAACGCTGACGAAGCAACTTAATGCTTTTACACAAGATCAGATCACACACTTCAGAATAAACGCTGACGAGCCAACCTTATATTTACACAGGATCAGATCACACACTTCAGAATGAACGCTGACGAAGCAACTTAATGCTTTTACACAAGACCAGATCACACATTTCAGAATAAACACTGACGAGCCAACCTTATATTTACACAGGATCAGATCACTTTTTTCAGCATGAACACTGACGTAGTGACATAATATTAACTGAAGATCAGATCACACACTTCAGCATGAACCCTGAAGCAACAACAACATATTCACTGAAGATCAGATCACACATTTCAGCATGAACCCTGAAGCAACAACATAATATTCACTGAAGATCAGATCACACACTTCAGCATGAACCCTGAAGCAACATAATATTCACTGAAGATCAGATCACACATTTCAGAAGGAACGCTGACGAAGCAACTTAATGCTTTTCAACAAGATCAGATCACACACTTCAGCATGGACCCTGAAGCAACAACATAATATTCACCGAAGATCAGATCACACATTTCAGAAGGAACGCTGACGAAGCAACTTAATGCTTTTCCACAAGATCAGATCACACATTTCAGCATGAACACTGACGTAGCAACATAATATTAACTGAAGATCAGATCACACACTTCAGCATGAACCCTGAAGCAACATAATATTCACTGAAGATCAGATCACACACTTCAGAAGGAACGCTGACAAATCAACTTAATGCTTTTCCACAAGATCAGATCACACACTTCAGCATGAACCCTGAAGCAACAACATAATATTCACCGAAGATCAGATCACACATTTCAGAAGGAACGCTGACGAAGCAACTTAATGCTTTTCCACAAGATCAGATCACACACTTCAGCATGAACCCTGAAGCAACTAAATGCTTTTCCACAAGATCAGATCACACATTTCAGCATGAACCCTGAAGCAACAACATAATATTCACAAAAGATCAGATCACATATTTCAGCATGAATCCTGAAGAAACAACATAATATTCACTGAAGATCAGATCACACACTTCAGCATGAACCCTGAAGCAACAACATAATATTCAGTGAAGATCAGATCACACACTTCAGCATGAACCCTGAAGCAACAACATAATATTCACTGAAGATCAGATCACACACTTCAGCATGAACCCTGAAACAACAACATAATATTCACTGAAGATCAGATCACACACTTAAGGTCGCTCTATAAGTGCAATAATCTTGGACGCGACGTTAAACCCCATTTCACCTCACCTCACCACACACTTAAACATGAACACTGACGTAGCAACTCAATATTTACACAAGATCAGACCACACATTTCAGCATGAACATTCATGTAGCAACTTAATATTTACACAAGATCAGATCACACATTTCAGCATGACCATTCATGTCGCAACTTAATATTTACACAAGATCAGATCACACATTTCAGCTTAAACACTGACACAGTAACTTACTATCCACTGAAGATCAGATCACACACTTCGGCATGAACTGTGACGCAACAACAACATATTCACAGTGACAATGGCTGATAATACATTATTAGTAAAATGTCACTGTTCTGCTTTCTTACCTCTGATGCAAACGTAGTGCTGGTTAATGTCTGGGCGGCAACTCTGATGACATCCTTTACTGTGACTTCCGAGAGCCTGTAACACATGCATAAATCATTTAAACGTAGTGATACAAGCCATTGTTCTATAAGCTGTTCAAGGGAAATGTTGTTCTTTCTAGGAGGCGGTGGGGTAGCCTAGTGGTTAAAGCGTTCGCTCGTCACGCCAATGGCCCGGGTTCAATTCCCAACATGAGTACAATGTGTGAAGCGACGTGTCCTTGCCCTCTGATCTTGGTAGTGAACACACACATGCGTATACATGGAAGCAACTCACGTGTTAATGTTCTCCTTGACGTAGTTCCACACGACGTGCATGGCATCTTGAGATCTGGCCAGGTTGGTGAAGACTGTTGATTGATGGGATGTCTTCTTCATCTTCTTAGCATCACTTGCAATATCCAGGACCCTGTTAAACATAGCTGACTATCTCAACACGACACAGACTTATTCATCCTCGATTATCCAGGGTATCATTTAGCATAGACCGGGTAATCGAGGATTGATCCGATCACTGGAATCAGTGGCCGTGAGTGAACGGGTAAAGTAAATGTGCTAATGCAAGAGGACACGTGATTGACTCTTGGACACAATAAAAATGAATTAATGACAAGTTATATAAATTATCGCAGTGATAATATCGATGCCGTCAGTATATGTACTGATGACGTCACACTGATGTTTGGAGTGTACCTTCTGAGGAGCCACGGCTCCTTGGGACAGGCAAGTGGATACAGCAGTCGAAAGGCGTACTTGAGATCGTTGGTGGTGCTGTAGGCGTCGTACATCGCCTGCCACGCCTTTAATCCCCCTTCCCGTACCCCGTAGCAGTTGATAACGTTCACAATATCCGGGGACGGTCTACAAGAGGCATTTGATGAATTATATACTCTAATCAACATGCGAATGCCTTATAATATAGTCATATTGCGAGGAAAATATTCATTTGTTTTATTCATATGGTTCAGCTAAACGTGTTAAACCAATCCATATGAGGTACACCTGTAAAATTGACTTCATGTAGTCTTAAATATTTTGACAATATGTATGACTTAATCCACATGTAATGTACACACCGACCTAAGATGCTGCTACTGCTGATGACGTATAGACATGATAATTTCACAATATATAATGTCATGCTGGCCTCCCAACGTTGTTATATATAGAGGCAAATACTATTTCTTTACAACTGCTAATCCTTGTGAAAAACCGATGTATTCAAACCAATAGTTTCGTAGAAAAACAGTACAACACATACTTATCTAATAATGTCTAAATATATCGCAAGTGAAGTCAAATGTTTTACCTGTGCTATCGATGATGGCAACAATATAGTGTGCAAATACGCTTTCAAAATAGTGTGAGATGATATATGTATCAATGTGATCTGAAGCAAAATTATAGTCGTCGTGTTACCTGTACTTGTCCTGGTCGATGGTCCAGAGGTTAAACAGGCGTGAGGAATCAGCTAAACAACTCCCAAGGCCATACTGACATGCCAGACGGGCGATCCTGTCTCGCTGATATCTGTTTAAAACATGTTCCATAAGTCTAATATTTCGAATTAGTTATTGTTGGCTATTGTTGTCCAGCATTGTGAGGAGTCGCAACTAGTCCGTGACCAAGGCTATTACTGTCCCCCGGCGTACCATCAACTCATCAAAGACCCCAATCAGCCATAATCCTGTTGTTTATATTACTGGCTTGATCCTTTGTTTATGTCACTGACTTCACTGATGATTGTCATCACTACCCTTATGTGTACACAACAGGCTTCTCCATGCCAGTATAACTACATTTACTATCTACTCTCCTGTATAAACATTGCCTCCTTCAGTAAGTGACGAGGGCTCTTTAGTCACTGATTTCAAACCAGATGGCACCGTCAGTAAGTGACCAGGGCTCTTCAGTCACTGATTTCAAACCAGATAGCATCCCTGATTTCAAACCAGATGGCAACGTCAGGAAGTGACCAGGGCTCTTCAGTCACTGATTGCAAACCAGATAGCACCGCGTGTGATAGTTTTCACTTATGTCACAGCGTATCAACTTAACGTGGAAGGAAAACCTACGTGACGTTGAACGTTGAGCGATTACCACTATGGTGAAACCAACGAGCACGGATATGGTGCTTTGAGACTATGGATCAATGTCTAATCTTAGAACCAAGCTCACCACCAGAAAATTCTCCGTCCGTGAGTGAGTGAGTATGGTTTTACGCCGCTTTTAGCAATATTCCAGCAGAATCACGGCGGGGGACACCAAAAATGGGCTTCACACATTGTACCCATGTCAGGAATCGAACCCGAGTCTTCAGCGTGACGAGCGAACGCTTTAACTACTAGGCTATCCGACCGCCCCTTCTCCGTCAGCGTTAAATTAGGTGCATTAGACCACTGGGCCACCGTTTTTTTTCGGTGCGGCATTTTGCCTATAAAAATTCTAGATATGCATGAAAGACCAGACAACTCACACAACAAGGAGCGTGTCCGAGGCATTACCCTCCAAGCCGTAGTTTCTGTATGCATTGGTAATCAGGTCCAGCACAAAAGCCTGAGGATACAGTAAAACAGTATATGTACAAACCTACAAAATACCCCAGGGTATTTATTGCAAAGTCAATTCAACACATTCAGGTACGTTTAACATTATGGAAATGCAATAAAATCAGAACCATAAACACTTATCAGTATTTAGTGTAACCCTGCTGATGATCTGCACACCTAATGTAACTGAAGATAAGGACTGTGGCACGTATGGCGCCTGTACAGACTGCTGTGCCCAAATTTCGCTTGGTCAGCGCATAACCCAATCTCGTGGGTTTTACCAAAATGGTAAACGTCTGGGACCGACACTCCCTAGGGCCTTCTTCTGATATTAAGCTTTCACGCCACGATATAACTGAAATACCGTTCAAATAGACGTTAAACCCAACTCCCCAACACACTCAGATAAAGACACTGAAGTAGTTGCACAATCAAAAACACCCTTGCCTTGAAAGCCCCATAGAAGCGAGTGTCCAGTAGTCGTGAGTCCAGATCGTCCAAGACACGGGTAGCCGGAGTCCAAGAGATGTAGTCGCTGTCATTCCTCAGGAAGCCGAGAGTCCGGAAGGCTATGGAGGCGTTCAGTAGACCAACCCTGGATATGAAGGATCGAACACTAAACAATCTGAAGGAGCTTTGGGTGTATACATGATATGATTTAAGTCACATTTTCACTGTTTGTTAAAGGCAGCATACAGAAATATTCCAGCTGTATGACGACGGCCTGTAAATAATCGAGTCTGGACCAGACAAGTCAGTGATTGATATCATGAACAACGATCCACGCCGTCAAGTCACAAAGCCTGACCACCCTATCAGTTTGGGCGCCTATTACGACCACAGATTGCTGGGGACCTACTCATAACCGCAATGCCCTTTCCTGTACACTGAAAGACGGTGTCGAACCAACGTTCTAGCGAACAATTACTTCTCCACCTGAGGTAAAATTATTTTGTTCAGCATGTTCTTAAACAAATTAGTGTTTTTAAATCACCGCGTTTAATTAGCGTGATACGTGATACTAGAACACTGTCTATGTGTAGCCGTCAATTCACTTATATACAAGTTGTCCAAAACAGAGCGTGTAGCTTCTTCCTTGGTGTCAGATCAAACACATCTAAACTGACAGGACCACCTCCGTGGTCTGTTAGTAGAGCGTCTGCCCAAAGCGCGGAAGGTCCGGGGTTCGATTCCCGGAAGCGCCATACTAGGAGACGTTAAAAGATGGTACTTGTTGTTATTAATACCTGTCTGGCGCTCGGCATTAAGGGGCTTAAAAAAGGACTGGTCGGCTCGGAGTCAGTATACTGTGTCTGCGTGGGGTATGCATGTTAAACTGCGGCATGGTATATCATTGGGTTAGCACTATAAATCGGCATCAGTCCGGACTTGTACAAACAGCCACATACACAAACGTGCATTCACGTCGCTATATAAGTGCAATAATCTTAAATCCAATTTCACCTCACCTCTAATCTGGCTGTGAGAGGAAAACATTGGATGGACTTCAACAATGGTGGATCAAAATGTAGAACTATTTAGGAAATATTTCAGATGTGAGAATATCCAAGAAGATAGGAATACATCAAAAATATATTAACAATAACAGTAAAAAGAATGACAACAGGCTCAGAACATGTAGAGTTTTCAAGTTTGATAATTAGGTAAATACCTATGTTCGTCGGATCGTGAGGCGTGACCATCGAAGCTTATTATCCAAATTCAGATGTGGCTCTCTACCCTTATCAGTTGAGACTGGTCGCTATGCTAAGCCTCCCCAAACTTTCGGGGATAGACTGTGTAAATATTGCGAAACTCAAAAACGTTAACTTTGTGGAAGATGAAACCCACTTTCTCATTTCCTGTGACTTTAAGTCTATCAGCGTTTAAATCTACTAAAAAAAGCAGAGGAAATTTACCCTGAATTTTGTACGTATTCAATTAGCCACAAGTTAACTTACATTATGCAGCAAGACGTTTCTATCAGTTACTCTCGCTGACAATATTTTTATTGGTGCTTAAGGTATCCACCTAAGTACTCTATTAACATTAAGTACGTAGTAAAAGACTGGAAAATGTATGTATTTTATATACAGCTACATTCCCATGTTTGGTGGGTATTAACATAATTTATATATTTTAATCATGTTTTAAGAATATAAGCCTTTACCAGGCTGGATATCGTACTTAAATTAGTACTGTTGCTTAAATAACATGTTATATTTTTACTATGTACTATATGTGACACTATGATAAAATATATCTTATTTTATCTTACCTATATACTTTTATCATTCATTCAGGAGCGGTATGCAATTTAAACAGCGAAACCTACCGAAACCATGTTGTTAATCTTCTTAAAATGAACAATGCAACCATCCGCTAAGCCTCCTGAAGCTGATAGTTTCATTTTTTTCGACGAATAGCTTACCTAGCAAGATTAAACGCATCATCGATTATCTGAGCTCTGTTGACAGGCGGGATAACCTGCAAGCAAATACATATGTAGAAATATTGGTTAAGCTCATTGTGAGTGAGTGAGTGAGTGAGTGAGTGAGTGAGTGCAACAAAATGATTGACAAATCGTGAAATTTCGAATAAAATCATGGCCTTTTGAACAGGGTTTGGTGACACAGTTTGAATGCACCACGATGTCTCATGCTAACATATCATGTATCGTAACGTCCTTTGGAATGCATGGCAACATAAACACGACAAGAGGGAACCTTCCAATGGTTCTACCTGAATGGGACGAATGTACCATGTGTCAACAATATCTGTATCATGCAATGCCTCAGGAAATCTATCAGCATCATTTATAACACGCATATAACTTGCAGGAACCCAATAGAAACACAACCAAATTCATGTCAAAGGGGCCTGACGTGCGCCATCTCTTCCTTTTCAAAGACTACCCATGTCCACTGTATGATCAGCTTCCAGTTGTCTTACTTGAGCTAACCACTTAACCTCATCATAGTTCATCCTGAAGTACCCCGTCTGGTGGAGGTGAAGGAGAACCCCGCCTCTGGGTTATGCACCATTTCCGCCTTTTTTAAGACTGCCCATGTTCAAGGTAGTACTTACTGTGTGATCTGTTTCCAACTGTCTAACTAGGGCCAACCAGTTGGCTTCCTCATAGTTCACCCTGTAGTACCCCGTCTGGTGGAGGTTGACAAGAACCCAGCCTCCGGGAGTAGAGGGGTCTGTTATGTTGACGTCTTCCACCAAAGCTGAAGCATACAACAGCGCATACAACAACCCTCGTGGGTATTCTGATTTAGTCAGGCTAGGTGAGTTGGTTGGTTACCCAGGCAGTGTGGACCGTTGTTCACAATATGAATCACTTGGTTGCCTGGTTCACATTTGATTATTTACAGACCTTCAGCAATGCAGCTGATTTGTGCTGCGTTTAATAACAAACACGTCGTGTTTTTCCTCTAGTCCCCCGGTTCGCCCCGATTATGTTTCTAGGTTTGTCAGCATCATACCCGTGCTCGTGGGTTTCACCGAAGTGGTAAACGTCTGAGACCTGCATCACTTCGGGCTTTCCTCCTACACTAAGCTGAGACGCCGCGATATAACTGGAATACTGTTAAAAGCGGCGTTAAACCCAACTCACTCACTCACTCACTCACACTCCTCTAGCCCCATAAATAGCTACGTTATAAGCCATTTCTTTGTTCACGATGAAATACTCCAGAAACGTAATTCTGCCAAACACTCAGATGGTTGTAAAAGGCGGGTGCTCACGCTCGGTGGCTTGGTTGAAGCCAACTAACCAGTCACACAAATTTGACCGTCAACAACTTTTCATGATTCCTTTTATATACCACGCTTTTAACAATGCTATTCTAAATGCCGTGGTACAATATACATGTTTGAGGAGACAGGAAGTGGAGAAAGATAAAGTTCAGTCAGTTTTTTTCTGCCATTTTAGCGGGTGAGATCTCTTTCCTTTGGCATTTTGTGCAAATGAGCAAGAAGTTAAGCATGTTAAAAACAGTTCAAAGACGTTGGATTGATTTCCATGTAAACCATTATACCAGTAGGCACAGATCTACGTGTTTTGTTCAAGCATACGCTGGAGCATACACTGAAAGGGCAAGCACAAACAAAATAATATCTATACACTTGGAGTGAGTGAGTGAGTTTGATTTTACGCCGCTTTTAGCAATATTCCAGCAATATCACGGCGGGGACACCAGAAATGGGTTTCACACATTGTACTAATGTCGGGAATCGAGCCCGGGTCGTCGGCGTGACGAGCGAACGTTTTAACCACTAGGCTACCCGACTGATCTATACACTTGGAAATTCATTGAAGATATAATAAGTTAGCAAACTGTATTACTTGGTGATATCTTTTCCCTATAAGGATCAACGCTTGTGAGGTGTGTTGGTTGGTTCAACACTGCATACTACTCAATGCTACTCGGTGTTCTTACTTGAGTTCTGTGTTCTGTAGAGCCACGATATTTCTTGAAATGTGTACTCTTTACTGAAGGGCGAAGTATCAGATCCAGTAACATAAGTAAGGGGAATGTCCCATTTATATCTACAAGAAAGAGGTTAAAATATATATAGTTATCTCGTATGCTACTCAAAGTTTCCTCAGGATCAAGTATTGATGATATCAAACATAATCCAACAAACAAAAATTGAAACATCCCGGTGCAAAGTGATTGGATAACCCCTATAGGGCCTCAAGTTCACGATGAGCGGACAGAGGCACGCAGTCACGGGGACGCCGTGTCGAGGTGCTTGAAAACCTGTGTGGTATCGTCACAGAATCGTTTCACATAATTACTTGAGAGCACAACAACATTTGCTACTAAGGATTGCAACAACTGAATGCACTTTTGTCTCCTCAGCGCTCGTCTGACGACCGAAAATTAGGCAGATACATAGGCTTGCTTGAAGTGGGTTAACACAATGTGACGTTGCACATGTCTTTGGTGTCAGCCAAGGTGTGAAGAGCAGAGAATGGAATCGATACCAAACGTTTGGACAAGCTACCCAGCGAAATCCAGGTGGTCGACAGCATTCCACCACACAGCGGGAAGACATGTGTCTCCTGACTGTAGCAAGACGTCATTACTTCGTGACTGCCACAACACTCAGAAATGGTTTGTGGAACGCCAGGGTGTTAACGTTTCTACTCATACAGTGCGTAATCGTCTCCGTGATGCTGGTCTCCGGGAACGAAGGGCACGCATTCGCATCCCACTGACACGTTTGGATTGGGCTGAAGGTCACCTCAACTAGACAGCCAAGGACAGAGCTCTAGTACTTTGAAATGATGAATCGAGATACTGTCTAGATATCACTGATCGTCGCGTCCGAGTGTGGCGAAGACAAGGAGAAAGATTTCAGGATTCCAACGTAGCCGAACATGACCGTGATTTCCGTGATTTCGGGTTGGATCAGCAGAGCTTGAAGAAGCGTTCACATTCTTGATGTGTACGTGAGACCGTATGCTGGTGCAATCGGACCACATGTTATCCTCGTAGACGATATCGCACGACCTCATCGTGCCAGGGTTGTTAATGCCTTCGAAGAAAATGAGACCATTGATTTCACGGAGTAGCCAACACGGTCTCCAGACCTCAACCTTATTGAACACATGTGAAACGAGCTACAGATGGCCTTCCCACGACCACTTGCCCCTCTGGTAACTCTACACGAACTCGGCAGTGCTCTTACCTTGGGCAATTCTTCCCTTTGCAACCATCCAGGGACTTATGAGGCGACAGTACCAGGCTGTGATCGCATCACATAGATCACATGTGCGATACTGAGAGTTGTGTCAATGAATTTGCTTTCGTGACGTTTTGACGTTTCAGTTATCATCAGATACTCTCATTTTGACAGGTGATCTGAATGATAATTGACCACATGTTGTCTGTTGGTATTCTGTGTCACATAAAAATTGACTTTTTGTCTTCATGATCACGCAATATTGTATATGTTTCAACATATGCACACAATATGACGTATTACCTCTTAAAGTAATGATCCTTAGCAAACTTTGAGTAGTACAGATATATATACACAACACTATTCTCGTTAGACCTGTTGTCGAGTTCCGACTGCAACCTTCAACCAATCAGACCCCTATTCTCCTTCTCAGCCGTAAGATTTGTTACCACGTTGCCATTTTGTCCCCCAAGTTTGTCGTGCCCCAGACCTCTCACAGACACACAAACCAAATGGACTCTCTGAGGAATCTGAACAGATGGAAGCGTGTATGGTATTTCTTCCTATACTTCCCGTTTGATATATATGTATTTAAACGAAAATAACTGACAAGTGTTGTTCGTTTGACAGACACAATCAGTACCGGTTGCAAATCTGACTCGATTAATTATTATGTTTCTCGGCATACACATGCCTCAAAGTGTTCCTGTTTTTATGTGTATAAACAAGCCAGTAGCAACATACCCGTATTTCGCTCCATCGTCGCTGACGTCCGCGCTCATGTTGGTTTGGAATAGCTGTTGACTGACTTCCAGGGCCCCTGGTCGTTGGATTGTAACCATGACAACCGGATAATGCATTTGTAGCAGCCACGGTTCCATTAAATCTCCAACGTTTAAAGTAATATTCTCCTTTGCAGCTTCCTTCAATAGAATTACAGAGTAAGTGTTCAATGTTCAGTATAGGACAGAAACAGAAATGTAGGTAGTTCAGTAATAATAGAAGGGTACCTCCATGAAACAACTGGTATTTTGACCGATAATTTATGATAGATTCTACTATGAATTTGGAAAATACTCGATCAGACGTATCAAATCACAATAAACACCCTCTGATTGAACTAGCCAATGAGCCGATGAAGCGACCGCGTCACCGCGGAAGATAATATTTTTAGAATAATACTTCTTTCACAGTCGTTTGTCGTTAGGCATATTGAAATAATATGTACAATTATAGGCTATACAAATGGAAAGATGCGGATGCTACAATATTCAAAGGATGTGTGGCAATACATTTCGTGCAGAAAACACGAATGTATTTCAAGGTTTTTGGACAACAGAGAGCTTGCTATTTGGAGCTTTTCTGTACACGACTGTGACGTAATATCTGCTCCGTCACAATGAGCGATAGAAAGTCATAATAGTGACGTTCAAGGTGGAACGAAACCTTTGCAAGGCTTACTTAGTTGTCTTTAGGGGTGCCCACCTCATGCCAGCTTAAAGTATTGTCATGCTACATATTTAATTGCCTGACATGTATTCCATTCATTAATTAGGTACCTGGCAATTGGTATTTAATCCACTATTCAATTACCTGAAATGTATTTGAACCTTTACTCAGTTATCTGATAACAGTTATATCATCTGTTATTCAATTAGGCAGGTGGGGTAGCCTAGTGGTTAAAGCGTTCGTTCGTCACACCGAAGACACGGGTTCGATTCTCCACATGGGTACAATGTGTAAAGCCCATTTGTGGTGTTTCCCCGCCGTGATATTGCTGGAATGTTGCTTATAGCGGCGTAAAACAATACTTAATCACACACTGTTATTCAATGACATTATATGTATTTGAAACATTATTTAACTACCTGACACGAGCATGAACTATCATATAATCACCTGAAAACAAATATGTAATCAGTCATTGAATTACCTGACAACATGTACTTGAACCACTGTTCAATTACCTTACACAATTTATTTAGTTCATTATTAAATTACCCCATGAAGATTCCGGGTTAGAATTGATCTAAAGCAATCCATGCTTGTCATAAGAGGCAACTAGCGGGATCGGGTGGTCAGGCTCGCTGACTTGGTTGATACATGTCAAAGTATCCCGTAGATCGATTTTATGTCAATCACTGGTTTGTCTGGTCCAGACTCAATTATTTACAGACGCCGTCATATAGCTGGAACATTTCTAAGTGCGGCCTTAAACAACAAACATTATTCAATTACCTTACAACATGTATTTGAGGGGGCACGGGTGGCCCAGTCGTCTAAGGCGCCGCGATTCGCTGTGCAGAGTTGCGTCCCTTGGGCACGCCAGAAACCTACGATTGTGGGTTCGAATCCCGGTTCGCCCCGATTATGTTTCTAGGTTTGTCAGCACCATACCCGTGCTCGTGGGTTTCACCGAAGTGGTAAACGTCTGAGACCTGCATCACTTCTGGCTTTCCTCCCACATTAAGCTGACACGCCGCGATATAACTGGAACACTGTTAAAAGCGGCGTTAAATCCAACTCACTCACTCACTCACATGTATTTGAACCGTTAATGAATCATCTGACATAATTTGGAACCATTGTTCATTTAAATGACTAGGCCCACACATACCTAAGTGATGAGTGTCCTTGTACGTGTCTGACCGTCTTAATCGATTGAGGGGCGGTCGGGTAGCCTAATGGTTAGAGCGTTCGCTCGTCACGCCGAAGACCTGGGTTCGTTTCCCGACATGGGTACAATGTGTGAAGCCCATTTCTGGTGTCCACTGCCGTGATAGTGCTGGAATATTGCTCAAAGCGGCGTAAAACCAAACTCACTCACTCACTCACTTAATCGATTGAATGCTTGGTCAACTGCTGTTATATGGCAGACTAAAACAATTCCATATGAATAAAAATACATAATCACGTTATGCATTCTTATGATGTTTTCATCGACGCAGATCAGCTATGATAATGTGGTGGTGGAATGGGGTTTAACGTTGCGTCCAAGATTATTGCACTTATATAGTGACATGCATGTACGTGTGTGTGTTTGTGTGGCTGCTTGTACTAGTCCGGACTGATGCCGATTTATAGTGCTAACTCACTGAGATACCATGCCGCAGTTTAACATGAATACCCCTCACAGTATACTGACTCCGAGCCGATCAGTCCTAGTTTTAGTCCCTTAATGCCGAGCGCCAGACAGGGTAACAACAAGTACCATCTTTTAACGTCTTTTGGTATGACGCGGCCGGGGATCGAACCCCGGACCTTCCGCTCTCCGGGCGGACGCTCTACCACTAGACCACGGAGGCGGTCTATGATAATGTACATTTGTATATTAGGCAGAGTAATAAATGTAACAAGTACCTCATTGAAGACTGTCCACATGTCGGAATTCTCTACTGATCCGTACTGATGCCTGATCAAATAAAGCTGAAAGTACAACAACACACATGTGATATAAACTACAGTGCTGAATAAGTGCAAAAAGATAAGTCGTCAAAAGGTAAAATGTATAGTATCAAAAACAAAATGTGTCTCAATTTTGAATATTGTTGTATGGCAGTGTAATTTATTGCTATTTTAACAGTGTTGTACTTGTATCACATTGTTTCTGTTGAGATTCAGTAGAAGTTCATTGTGTGACAATAGCTAGTTATCAGTAATGTATTACTATCAAATGTAAGCAGTGGTGAGGAAGTTACTTTATTGAGATGCGTTTGGAGTTAACTGCAATCTGGAATCTTCTAGAATCTTCTAGAACAGCTATAGACCAATCCAGCATGGTTAAGAGTGAGTTGAGTGAGTGAGTATGGTTTTACGCCGCTTTTAGCACTATTCCAGCAATATCACGGCGGGGGACACCAGAAATGGGCTTCACACATTGTACCCATGTCGGGAATCGAACCCGGGTCTTCGGCGTGACGAGCGAACGCTTTAACCACCAGGCTACCCGACCGCCCCAGCATTGTTAAGAACATTCAAAATATGTCGGTAAGATACATTAGTTGTAGTATTCGTTGTTTGTGTCCCGCGTCCGGTGGATTGGTGAACCAAAACAACCTGATTATTAAAGTAATATTTACAGGAGCTTTAATGAATGCACTTGGACCTAATAAGCACATTGTCATTGTTGAACTTTTGGCAAACGAAAAAAATATACTGAAAGAATGAGCCACAATTTAAATGGAAGTTGACGGTTTTTTTATATATAAAATGCATGTTCATAGCTTTGACAGGTGACCTTCTGATCAACAACATGCCCAGCGCCTGTATTTCTCAGCCTCCCAGACCCAAGACAATACATTATTTTTTGGTCTTTAGAAACGTCTGGCCATGTCCAGAACGCCTCAGCTCTGAAATTAAGCATTATTTCTGGCTCCATTATGATTGTTTATTTTGCAGATGTATAGTTTAAAATATGATAACTTTATTTCTGGGACTGTATGTCAGTCTATTCCTGGACTTGCATTTATTGCTCTCAGAAACAGTTCCTCTCCGAAGATCAGTCGCATCATCCGGACAACGCCAGCTCCCTGTGAACACAAACCACATGTTTGTATACAAAGCCATGCATACATAACACGAGCATACACAAGATTGGCCCCCTGTCAAAATAAACCACGGGTTTGTAAAGTAAGACAAGTTCTATGGATGAACAACTTCTTTATTACAATTAGTGCTTCTAATTTACTGGCTTCCAATCATCCCAAATCAGCTTCCGTGGTTGTTTACCCCGTCCCATTAGCCATCCACTGGCTTCCAATTATCTTAATCAGCTCTCTGTGTCCATCAATCAATTTACTGTATAAACACTGATGTTAATAAGTATATATATTTATGTTGTTTAGCACTATCCATCACTTGCTTGATAAAGGTGTTAGGATCTACACCGAAACGTAGCACTAATTGTAATAAAGAAGTTGTTCATCCATAGAACTTGTCTTACTTCATCACATCAACTTCTAAATGCCACTTAAAGAAGTCACAGGTTTGTATACAAAGCCATGCATACACAACACTAGCTCCGTGTCAATACAAACCATATGTTTGTACATCACGCCATACATACAGCACATTAACCCCCTGTCAACATAAACCACATGTTTGTATATCACGCCATGCATACAGCAAACAAGCCCCCTGTCAACACAAACCACATGTTTGTATATCAAGCGATGTATACAGCACATTAACCCCCTGTCAATACAAACCACATGTTTGTACATCACGCCATACATACAGCACATTAACCCCCTGTCAACATAAACCACATGTTTGTATATCAAGCCATGCATTACAGCACATTAACCCCCTGTCAACATAAACCCCATGTTTGTATATCAAGCCATGCATTACAGCACATTAACCCCCTGTCAACATAAACCACATGTTTGTATATCAAGCCATGCATTACAGCACATTAACCCCCTGTCAACATAAACCACATGTTTGTACATCACGCCATACATACAGCACATTAACCCCCTGTCAACATAAACCACATGTTTGTACATCACGTCATGCAGACAGCACACAAACTCCCTGTCAACACAAACTACATGTTTGTATATCACGTCATGCAGACAGCACACAAACTCCCTGTCGATACAAACCACATGTATGTATATCACGTCATGCAGACAGCACACAAACTCCCTGTCAACACAAACCACATGTTTGTATATCAAGCCATGCATACAGCACACAAACTCCCTGTCAATACAAACCACATGTTTGTATATCATGCCATCCAGACAGCACACAAACTCCCTGTCAATACAAACCACATGTTTGTATATCATGCCATCCAGACAGCACACAAACTCCCTGTCAATACAAACCACATGTTTGTATATCAAGCCATGCAGACAGCACACAAACTCCCTGTCAATACAAACCACATGTTTGTATATCACGCCATGCAGACAGAACACAAACTCCCTGTCAACACAAACCACATGTTTGTATATCACGCCATGCAGACAGCACACAAACTCCCTGTCAATACAAACCACATGTTTGTGTGTCAAGTAATGAATGCAGCACACAAACTCCCTGTCAATACAAACCACATGTTTGTGTGTCAAGTCATGAATGCAGCACACAAACTCCCTGTCAATACAAACCACATGTTTGTGTGTGAAGTCATACATACAGCACACAAACTCCCTGTCAACATAAACCATATGTCTGTATATCACGACACGTGTATCCAGACAACACTACCTTCCTGTCAACACAAACCACATGCTTGTATATCAGGCAATTTGAAACTGTGTCAGCTGATAGAGAATGGATACCTATGTCATAAATGTCATATTTTGACTCGTTAAAAGGTGAAAACATTCCGGCAGTATATTAAAGTGCTACTCTTTTGGTTATTATTAATAATTTATATTATTAATCTATAAAGCTGCAAATAAAGTAACCCGATATAAGAATATGCCATTGATGGGAAAATAATAGTATAAGATACAACCTTTTAAGATCATTGCCTCAAAATACCTCCAGGTTATATTATTGGTATCTTTTAACTGAGTCACCCGTAGATCCGGGAGAAAATGTGTGTACAGCTGATTGATATTTCCGGTTCAGTTTACGAGACAAATAAACACGATGATATTTTCTGCACAGAAAACACTGCCCAGCAGAACAGGACATATAATAGAAAAGGGAAAACGTCAATGTCTAGTGATGTTTTATTCGCAATGTTTCTCATTTTCATTGACCAAGTTTCGCATCGATCTTAAGCTCGTTCCCCTAAGCCGATAATACGTACATAGAAAGGATAAGCAGTCTTCACTGATGACCGCAGCAGGGGATTGCGCTCAAGGCATCTTGGGTAGTTCACTATCGCTAGACAACCGAGCGAAGACATTCTGTTTGGATTTTTACTGATTACGTCTATATACGTCTTTGGCTTATATGGTGGCGAAATGGGGTTTGACGTCGCGTTCAAGATTATTGCACTTATATAGCGACGTGCATGAGTCCGAACAATTACCGATTTTTATAGTGCTAGCCCACTGAGATACCATGACACAGTTTAACATGAACACCCCACTCAGACATAGTATACTGACTCAGTCCTTGTTTTAGCCCCTTTTTGCCGAGCTCCAGGCAGGGTAACAACAAGTACCGTCTTTGAACGGCTTTTGGTATGACGCGGCCGAGCATCGAACCCCGGACCTTCCACTCTCCGGGCGGACGCTCCACCACTAGACCACGGAGGCGGTCCGGTATATGGTCTCTGCTCACCTGTCCATATTGTGTAAGATATTCCAAAATCAGTTTGATGAATACATCTGATTGTGAGAACAATATATACGAGAAAATGTTCGCTACCTTGGAGTATAGGATATTGTCAAACTTTGGTTCATCCTTCACTAGTGGCCAGTGTCTGTTTGCGTCGTCGATAAACACACGATGGAGAAAGTCTACCACAAACAATTCATCCTGAAACGATACATGAAACCATTGTAACCAAACGTACAGTATTCCAAATTCTTGACACTATTTTAGGTGAGTCCACTGTACCTATGGCAACCCGCTATGTCTGAGGCCAATGTAGCTGTGGCAACCTGCTTGTGCGTCCACTGTAGCTATGGCAACCCGCTATGTGTCGGCCAGTTGTAACTATGATACTTCGCTATGTCTGGGCCCATTGTAACTATGACAGCTCGATATGTCTGAATATGCTGTAACTATGACAACCCGCAAAGTCTTAGTCCACTGTAACTATGACAACCCGATATGCGTGGACTTCTACTTTCCAGACTATTAAAATGTAAATGTGTATTGGAAAAAAAACATATGTGTGTCATACCGTCCTGCGGGATGGATGGAGAGTGTGTATCACTTGAACCTCAAAGAACATTGCAAAGCCCTCGCTCAGCCACGCCCATCGCCAAGTTTTCGGGGATACCAGATTTCCTAGCCACTGAAACAGTCGAAACATCATAATGAAGAGTTTGGTTTAACGCCGCTTTTAACATTATTCCATTTATATCGCGGCGTGTCAGCTTAATGTGGGAGGAAAGCCAGAAGTGATGCAGGTCTCAGACGTTTACCACTTCGGTAAAACCCACGAGCACGGGTATGGTGCTGACAAACCTAGAAACATAATCGGGGCGAACCGGGATTCGAACCCACAATCGTAGGTTTCTGGCGTTCACAAGAGACGCAACTCTGCACAGCGATTTGCGGCGCCTTAGACGAGTGGGCCACCCGTGCCCCCTCTACCATTTGAGTATCACTTCTAAGTGAATTTCAAAGACTTTACTGGAAGTATTGAGAAACGAATTTTACGAAACCAGATTACGTCCCTCACTAAAGATGTCTCTACAGACACCAGATGCTTCAACCATGAAGTTATGTTTAGGTTTCCATAATGTTCCTCGACAACGTTTTTTCGAAACGTTTTGAAAACGTTAAACACACCTTCACAAATTAGTGTTCTTTAAATGTTTTTTCGAACGTTATTGTAACCATACAGAAACGTTTTGGAAACGATTTAAGAGGTAAATTAATGGTTCCAGAACATTTCCCGCCAACGTTGTTTCAAAACGTTTTCAAAACGTAACAGATCTAAGTTTTTCAAACGTTTTTTCGAACGTATTTGTAACCTTATGGAAATGTTACCAAAACGATAAAACAAGTTTTCTGTGTTATTTGGGCAACGCACACCTTCATTCACTGCAACGTGTCAAGTGTTACCTGATGACACATTTCGTGTGCAAGCAAAAGCATGGTTTGTTGTTTAAGCTTCCTCGGGTCGACAGCGGGGTTGAACAGAATGTCATTATATATGAGCAGTCCCCAGTTCTCCATGCCGGCCCAGACTCGGCCCTTGATGACGATGTTATCTGAAAGTGTAAACATTGCAATATACGCGATATAAGTAATATAAGTAAAATATGTAATACGCTTTATTATGCCTCAAAGTGTGATTGACCAATCAGAGAGAAGAACAAGTGACCCCACATGAACCCGTATACCGTCAGTAGAAATCCAAGATGGTTGATACTGATCTAATATGAGACCTGTACCGTCAGTAACAGCCATCTTGGATTTTTCAACACCCACTTCACATATTTCACATTGAAAATTATGGTGTCTTTAGTTGCCGTATACGGTGTCATATTAGGTTAGCAGAAATATATTTTTCTGCTAACCTGACATGACACCGTATACGGCGACTAACATTGTGGGTGTCCCTTCCGTGAAATACGTTCGCTGGGACTTTTGCATTGCATGAGAGACAAATGCCCCGTTCATAAGCGGATGAAATATAAGTCACGATTTAAGTAACTGAGTCCAACACTCGCCTCCTCCTTACTTGGGATTGGCACGGGTGGACAAGAAGAGTATCACAATCTCCCTCTATTAACCTCTATGGTCAACGGGTGGCCCAGTCGTCTAAGGCGCCGCGATTCGCTGTGCAGAGTTGCGTCCCTTGGGCGCGCCAGAAACCTACGATTGTGGATTCGAATCCCGGTTCGCCCCGATTATGTTTCTAGGTTTGTCAGCACCATACCCGTGTTCGTGTGTTTCACCGAAGTGGTAAACGTCTGAGACCTGCATCACTTCGGGCTTTCCTCCCACATTAAGCTGACACGCCGCGATATAAATGGAATAATGTTAAAAGCGGCGTTAAACCCAACTCACTCACTCACTCATTCTATGGTCTACAGCAGAGAGCGCCTGCCCTGAGTGCAAAATGTAGGTGGTTCGATCCCCGTCTTCGTCATACAAAATGACGTCAACAGATGATACTTGTTTTTACCCTGCCTGGCGCTCGGCATTAAGGGGATTAAACAAGAACTGGTCGGCTCGGAGTCAGTATATTGTGTCTGAGTGGGGTGTCCATGATAAACTGCGGCGTAGTATTTCAATGGGCTAGCACTATAAAACCGGCAGTAGTCCAGACTAGAACAAGCAGCCACACACACACGCGCATGCACGACGTCGCTATGTAAGTGCAATAGTCTTCAACGCGTAGATGAGCCCAAATTCACCTCACTTAATTCAGGTTTACCTATTTTTGACAGTGGATAGGGGGGCTGCAGGTTCTTGTTTAACCACTCAAATATCCGTATTCCCTGTTCGTGGGCCATTGTTGCTTCAGCTGTAGTGCCCGGCTTAGATATAGTGCGATACTGAAATACAAAACAAAAATATCTTAGAGTAAACTACGTTTATAACGAGTGAGTGAGTGAGTGAGTTTGGTTTTACGCCGCTTATAGCAATATTCCAGCAATATCACGGCGGGGGACACCAGAAATGGGCTTCACACATTGTACCCATGTCGGGAATCGAACCCGGGTCTTCGGCGTGACGAGCGAACGCTTTAACCACTAGGCTACCCGACCGCCACGTTTATAACGAAGTGACGGATATAGCGAACTTACTTTTTTGTCCCGAGTATTTACTGTAGTTATGATGTATATATGCTTATAACGAACTACGGTTATAACGAACTAAAATTAGTGGTCCCTTTGAGTTCGTTATATCCGTTGTTTACTGTATATTACGCGGCGGTTTCGATGCCATACGTTCTTGAATATTCACTTTAAGGAATCAACATGCGACGAATATCGAACAATGTTGAAATAAATAGTTAGAATAGTTCTTCAGCATCCCATGCTTTCCGTAAAAGGCGACTATGCCTGTCGTAAGAGGCGACTAACGGGATAGGGTGGTCAAGCTCGCTGACTTGGTTGATGCATGAGTTGATGTAATAGATTATGATTGTGACAATAGGCATAGTTTGAGACTATATTTTCCTCGTTCTAAATAGAAAATACTTTATAATATATATTACCCTTCCAAGTGTGTGTATATATCAAGTTGATAAAATGAGTGAAGGGTATATGTTCCCTTCATCAGTACTCTCTATTACTGGACCCGTGAAGATCCGGGGTAGAATAGGTCTTCAGCAACCCATGCTAGACGTAAAAGGCGACTATATGCTTGTCGTAAGAGGCGACTAACGGGATCGCTGACTTGGCTGATGCATGTCATCGATCTCAATTACGTTGATCGATGCTCTATGATGTCAATCACTGGATTGTCTGGTCCAGACTCGATTATTTACAGACCACCGTCATATAGCTGGAATATTGATGAGTGCGGCGTTAAACAACAAACCAACCAACCTGATCAAACTCTTTTTATGACGGTGACATCTTGTCTATTTGTATTTTAATATTTCTACAGTATTTTTGTTTCAGGTCAAGATAAGTGCATAAAGATTCAGAATGATCAATGAAAACTTTCCAATTGTTAGCTTTCCCTTCATGTCCAGCAATATTCCAACAGCTCCAGCCTTTGGTGTTTACATTTCACAACTTTTGATGTACAATCGAGCATAAACTTTCTTCGAAGATCTTACGATCCTTGCTAAAAAATGTTTGATCGGGATTTCAACAATCTTTCAATATGTTTTATGGTAGACATGTGGAAGACATATCCTAATTTGCAGCATGAGTGACAAACATGATGCACGATGCAGTTCCCTGTTTTAACTTGTACCATATGTTCCCGTGTTTTCATTTGTTGAACATTGGCTTGCCCTTGCATGTGTTTGCAAAGCGTGTCACCGGTGGGAAAGGGTACGCTCACCTTTTCGTGAACACCTGGTATTATCACTATTTGATAGCGATTAAAACACACACACACTTATGACATAGTCGGACACCTATGGTGGTCACCTTTACACAGAAATATCTTATGATTATGTAAAGGTCGCTTTTATTATCTGAATGCACAAACAGTAAACAACGTTTATAACGAACACGCTTATAACTAACTGACCGATATAACGAACTTATTTTTGGTCATATATAGAGAATCACACCCGAGTGTCTTTTGATATTAAATATATTTACGAGTGTATATTTGATATCAAAAGACACGAGGGTAAGATTTTATTTATCATCCAACATCATTCTTCCACCTTTTTCAGTTTGTAGACAGTTATAAGCAGTGTCTTAAGTGTAAAAAGTACTGCTAACAGCTTCAGTAGTAGAGCCATTAATGATGGCATTTGATTGTGACGTCATGGTAACGAATGACGTCACAATGGTCTGCAAAGCATTGTAATGCAATTTCATTGCATCGATATCTACAGTGTAGATATATAGAATACTAAACGAGCTTCCGTGTAATACCAATTTTATGAAACGAGTGAATAGTTCTGGTATCTGACGAGCGAAAGCGAGTCAGATACCACAACCATTCACGAATTCACGTGACGGGAGCGAGTTTAGTATTTTATTTATTACTTGCCATTAATACCGTTTTTCGAATTATACTGTTGAGTGTGAATAGGCTGACACCTACCCGATCCACGGCATAATCCGATTGAGTAATACTTCAAACACGTCAAAAGTTTAAACGTATGAAATTAATACCATACAACGGTCCACCTTTAGAATTCAGGCGTCCGTTCCACAAAATTATCGTAGCGCTGAGGTTATCGCAATTCACATACTTTAACTTAGACCAACAAGTGTAGTTGAGCTACAATACGAATGCCTTGTGGAACGGGGCCTTGCACCTCAAAGTTAACAATCACGTCACAATACCCGATGACGTAATTTGTGGAAGATCCATCGGCGAAACAATGCCATGTGACGTCAGCCTAGCAACAAGCTTGCGCGGGTCATCGAGTGTGCATAAGCTCCTCTCAGCGATCTATCATCTCCACACGCAATGTCGTTGAATAAGCCAAGGGATGTTGAGAGCTTTCAATATTTGTTCCGAGAGTACGAGACCACACGTTTTGGTATTACACAATGTGTAATACAGTTGTATGTTTATTAAACGGGTGATCTCTTCACGGGCAAGTAACAAATCGCTTGATCTCACCCAAGCGATATCTCCTGTGGGAGCCAGTTTTGGATGATAAATGTTGTATGTATGCTTATAACGAACTACGGTTATTACGAACTAAAATTAGTGGTAGTTATTAGTGAGTTTTTTTATAACCGTAGTTTGCTGTTCCATAGAAAACGATCGCAAGCCCCAATGTGTTTGAAAGTAATATATTACATTATGAAATTATTATTATTATACATGCTATTTCTTAAAATTATGGAAATGGTTTTGTCGTATTTAATCATTTTTTACTATGAAGCATCCATGAAGACTGTAATTCTGAATGGTGTATGATCTGCTGCGTCTTACCGTGACCCCTGTGGAAGTGACGTTTTCCATGTAGTCGTAGTTGACAACAGCGAAGGCGAGGATGTCGATGTACATCTTTGGTGTTGTCTTGTAGACGTCGGCAACAAAGTTGTCTCCCCTGAAACATGATATGTTTTTAAATCACCTCTGATTATGTAAATATAAGAAACTCATTTTTTAACAAAATAATGATAACTGTAGTCGGCTTATCAACTGCCTGGTAATATCTATATACCTTCAATTAGTGTCTTTGACAACGCTGCCTTACATTGCCAAGACGTAGTTATGAATTATTAGGGGCGGTCAGGTAGCCGAGTGGTTAATGCGTTCTCCCGTCACGCCGAAGACCCGGGTTCCATTACCGACATGGCTACAATGTGTGAAGCTCATTTCTGGTGTCCTCCGCCGTGATATTGCTGGAATATTGCTAAAAGCGGCGTAAAACCATACTCATTCACTCACTATGACTTATTATGATGATGTTGATGATGCAACAGCTCTATTCACACCTTGGATCCTGCCGGATGATGTCCGTGTTGGACCGCGAGGTATAATTCCCCACTTTCCTCACCAGCGTTATGTTGAAGGTAGTCTTATAGCGAGGTTCATCGAAACAGGGAATAGCTTGTCGTGCTGAAGATGGATGGAACTGGCTCACCGCAAAGTATCTATGACACAATTAGACAAAGTTATTCCACAAAAGTTATATGACACGATTACACATAAGATAAAGGGGGCACGGGTGGCCCAGTCGTCTAAGGCGCCGCGATTCGCTGTGCAGAGTTGAGTCCCTCTGGCACCCCAGAAACCTTTGACTGTAGGTTCGAATCCTGGTTCGCCCAGATTATGTTTCTAGGTTTGTCAGCACCATACCCGTGCTCATGGGTTTCACCAAAGTAGTAAACGTCTGAGACCTGCATCACTTCGGGCTTTCCTCCTACATTAAGCTGACAACCGCGATATAACTGTAATACTATTAGAAGCGGCGTTAAACCAAACACACTTAATCATAGGTTTCTGGCGTTTCCAAGGGACGCAACTCTGCACAGCGAATCGCGGCGCCTTAGACGACTGTGCCCCCCAAACAAGAGTAGAACAAAGAGAAAATATCATACATTCTTATGTGTCAAGTGTTTTTCTTTTTAGTTCGTCAGGGTTTTCTCTAAACAGAACAGTATTCTCTTCATAAATTAACATTACCAGCTGTAGGTATGATGCCTTGCTTTGTCCGCATTCATTGATAACATTGATGTGATGGGGATGTGTTATGGTCATTCAAATATGCTCAAAATAATGATAAGTTTCGTGATATAACAATGACAAAGCGAAAAGTATGAGATTGTATCATTCTTCAGGACGCAGAACTTAATGCCGCAAAATATAACAATGCAAGACATTTACCTTGAATTCTATGCATTGATAACGTATACCAAAGGCCAAGTCTCAACACCCTTTCGTCTTTGCAAAAAGTATTTACGCGCAAAGCAGGTTTTTTATTTATTTCAGGAATTTAAACGCATTTACAAGGGGAGAACAAATATGTTACATGTTGGGAAAGTTTGATGGAGGATCATCGAACTGGGTGAGACATATTCAGTAGACATTGAGATCGCTACCGCCCTACAATAATTTGGACCTAGCGATTCTTTAAATATATACTCATTGACTCCTATGAACAGTACTTCGGGTAAATCAGTTGATTTAAAGGCTGCCTTGAAAAATCCCCATATACTTACGCAACCCGGAAACGCACATGTAATTTTCAAGAGATTCATCCTAGAGTGAGTGAGTGAGTTGGGTTTAAAGCCGCTTTTAACATTATTCCAGTTATATCGCGGCGTGTCAGCTTAATGTGCACGTGGGAAGAAAGCCCGAAGTGATGTAGGTCTCAGACGTTTACCACTTCAGTGAAACCCACGAGCACGGGTATGGTGCTGACAAACCTAGAAACATAATCGGGGTGAACCGGGATTCGAACCCACAATCATAGGTTTCTGGCGTGCCCAAGGGACACAACACTGCACAGCGAATCGCGCGCCTTAGACGACTGGGCCACCCGTGCCCCCCGATTCATCCTAGAAGGCTGCAAAAGCGATACTCGGGATATTTGTGTGCTCGGAAGATTACACAGTGAAACGTCGTTTATCAAAATGATCGCTAAGAAGGCTTTGCATGTGGCGGTTATGTCAGAATCTCAAGTGTGTCCGTCGTAAAGCCGTGTAGTGCCGTGTCTGTGTACCATTGGCCTGAATGACTGCCCAGTGAACTGAGACACCTTGTGGAGTGGCAGTCCATTCTTCCCGAGGCAAGAGAGTTAACTGACATTAAAAGTCCAGTTTCCGCCCTTGCCGAACTAGGCTGGAATTACTGGGCTCGATCGTAGCGCCACCAGTGGCTATTACCAGTTATGTCCCTTCTAAGCCTCTCCTATGGACCAATCAGATTCACCTCTCGTATAACTTGCGTTTGCTTCACACAAAATGGTGGCGCCCAGTCAGGACGATCTGATCGATAATCAAGATCTATATTGTGATAAAACGGGTCTAACATCGCGAAATGCATCAAATCACGTGAGCACCTTGATTAAAAACATGATAAGATTTGGAAAATATCTGCTGACAACGAGTTGGCGGTGCACATCCTTTGCAAATCCTGCAATCGACCGAAGTCTGCACGACAGTTCGATTTCGATTTCGGTGCGCGATTTTGTTTGGAGTATGCATAGACTCGTTAGTCCAGCCATAATATAGCTTGAATATTACTGAGTGCGGCGTTAAACAACAAATAAACAATCAAAACTTCTGCCATGCGACGTCAGCCTGTAAACAAACCAGACAATCAAGTGATCGATGAACCAGACAATCAAGTGACATGATAGTACTATTGATGATTTTGTTGAAACTAACAAAAACGATATGATAATTTTGTATTACGTCTGCTGTGTACAAGCGCAGAGATTTTGCTACTTATAAGCAAAGAAAAACGTCAAGACATTCGTTTTGCAACACAGTGGGCGCAGTTTTAAAGTCCAAGCATTTGTTTTCCAGAGTACTGTGCAGAGTACGGTTTCCAAGGTGAAGTACCCGGATGTAGCGAGTATGGGCTGTTGTGGAGATGCGAGGTCTGCTTGTTCTTGGAAGATGTCTGTTGATGCCATGGTGATATCTGATATTGTGCCCAAAGTCGGGACATTGTGCTCTGGGGAAGCTTGTGATTCACTGCTTTAATAGACCACATCCCTGGCCTAGTAGATACATCGTCTGCCAGGTGAGCGGAGGGTCGATAGTTCGGTCCCCGGCCGCGTCATACCAAGATACGTTAAAAATGGTTATTCTTGTTGCCCCGCCTGGCGCTCAAAATTCAGGGGCTAAAACAAGGACGGGTCGGCTCGGAGACAGTATACTGTGTCGCCAAGGTACGGTGACATGCAATGAACCACGTCGTCGAATTTGACCACTCGACGAAAAAGTCGCAAGGTACACGCAGTGTTAACCTCGCAGACGTTCACTTTAGTACTTTAAATTACTGTAAGCGAATTAGGTGGGACAGTCGTGATAATGTCTTTGCCACTACAGTAAACTACGGATATAACGAACTCAAAGGGACCCCTAATTTTAGTTCGTTATAACCGTAGTTCGTTATAAGCAAATATACATCATAACTACAGTCAATAGTCGGGACAAAAAAGTAAGTTCGCTATATCCGTCACTTCGTTATAAGCGTGTTCGTTATAAACGTAGTTTACTGTAGTTCATTGTCCCTCACTGAGCCTGACACTCGCCCCCTCCCTGCTAACACGACACCACTGGGGGACATGAAGTCTCACGATGCCACTTAATTCAGTTCCCTGATCTAGCGGATAGAGCAGAAGGTTAGTGGTTCTATGCCCGACCAAAACATGTTAAAGATGGTACCTATTGTTACCCTGCCTGCGCTCGGCCTTAAGGGAATAAAACAAGGACTGGTAGGTTCGCAATCAGTATACTGTATCTGAGTGGAGTATCCGTGTTAAACTGCTGCATGGTATCTCAGTGGCCGTGCACTATAAAACTGGCATTAGGATTTCATAACATACCAGTACATTTATTTTCACACAGCAGTGCAACATCCGCGAAATTACTTTTCAAAATGTTTATAAGACCACATCAACCGGTTGTTTACAAAATGTGGATCAGGTGGTCAGGTGACTTAGTTGATTGCGTGTCTTGAAACAACAAACAAACAAACAAACAAAGTATACATAGTAACAATGATAGCCTGGTACATGTACTCACTGTTTTTGTCCAGTCTCGTCTGTGTCGTAGCCGAACGATATTCCGAATGGTGATGACGTCAGCTTGTCCTCATATCGAATAGCCAACTCGTACCTCTCGCCTACAGTCAACTTCTCGTCTAACACGAGAGTATACAACTCCTTTTCTTTATCATAGACTGCTTCAACAATTCCTGGAGCGCACTGATTGGTTCTCAATGGTTTTAAAGATAGGGATTGTCTGAAAATGGTTAGCTCTTTGGCATGAAGAATAATATTCGCCGTCGGTGTTTTTACGTCAAGGAAGATAGATACGTTGCCGTGGAGTTTGAATAATGATGAATTACATTGGTAGATGTCAATGAACAGCTCCATATTGTAGTGATAAGGTTCGACTTGACCAGGGAAGGTTTTGTTTACAGGCGGCGGCTGTGTGGTCGTTGTCGTGGTAGAAGACGTAGCCGAGGATGATGTTGACGTTGATGACGTGTGTGGGGACGAAGCCGACAATGCCAGCGTTGATATCATTGTGGAATTCGTTAGGTAATCTTTGCCTTAAACATATAATTGCAAACTGTATATAACTGACTCAAAAAGGTTTTGTTTGTTTGTTGTTTGACGCCGCACTCAGCAATATAACAGCTATATGACGGCGGTCTGTCCAGACAATCCAGTGATTGACATCATGAGCATCGATTTACGCAACTGGCATACGATGACATGCATCCTCGCCATTTACGACAAGCATGGGTTGCTGAAGACCAATTCTAATCCGGATCTTCACGTGGCAGTTATATTTGAGCCAAGAACATCACTCAGTAGCTATGTGAAGACAAAGTAGTTATTCAATCAATATTGTATGTCGGCTTATGTAGGTATAAACGAAAACAATCATTTATGTCAATTCTGATCAATAAATAAGTCAACAATAATCACTTCCCAGAGAACATATTTAGTCATGAACATAAATAACTGTAAAAAATGATACGAACTCTGTAATATCGCACAGCGCAATAATATAACAAACGCTACTAAAGTAGTCCACCATTTGGCGTGGCCAAATTACTTCAGTTTCATGGCAACGTGAACGTTTAAACATCGCTTGGTTTTCCAATCATATGGCATGGAATCCTATGCACTATTTATAACATAATCTAATTGCAGTAATTATATATTAAAGAGATATCTAGTTATGTTCGGTATGCTCGCGATGTGTAATAACTGGAGCGACATCTTGATCAAGTATTAATTGAAACAAAATATGGTTGCAGTTAGTATTGAAGCAAAATCGTACTATGCATATGTATTTTATCTGATTGTGTTAATTATGCGGTGAAACATTATTAACATTATCTTCTTTTGGGGGTATTTGTTTGAAGCGAAATAAAGTTTTAGGTATGTGAAATGGAGTTTAACGTCGCGTCCATGATTATTGCACTTATATAGCGACGTGCATGCACGTGTGTGTGTGTATGGCTTCTTGTACTATTCCGCACCAATCCAATTTATAGTGCTAGCACACTGAGATACCATGCTGCAGTTTAACACGAATACCCCACTCAGACACAGTATACTGACTCCGAGCCGACCAGTCCTTGTTTTAGCCCCTTAATGCCGAGTGCCAGACAGGGTAACAACAACTACCATCTTTTAACGTCTTTTGGTATGACGCGGTCGGGGATCGAACCTCGGACCTTCCGCTCTCCGGGCGGACGCTCTACCAGTAGACCACGGAGGCGGTCCAAAATCAAGCATTAAGACAGTACGCATGGCAGTTCAACGGTAGCCCACTATGTCGAAACCATTAAGGATAGCATGCAGTTGCTACCGTGTTGTACATATGGACTGGGCTCCCTCCTCCGCCAGCCGCTGAGCACATCCATGTACCGGAAGTACTTAACTCGCAGTGCTTGAGATATCACAGCGCCTATATCCAGTGACACAAACGTACTTTTAGGCCTGCTCGTTAAGAACATTTAATTTTCCCACCATTATTTAAGAAATAAACGACAAGTGGGAGTTGTTTACCATACAATAAACACTGGAGGGAGAATAAACGCACTCGTCGTTTATTTCTTATATGAGATATCAACATTATGTACAGCCTCTTTACTCGTCGTTATAGGGCTGAAGTTATGCCGATGCGACGTTAAATTTTAACTCACTACACAGAGCTCCAGATAAGCTGCGTATCTGCGTAAAATACGCATCAGAAATACGCAGTAAAATATAATCCAAGCGTATCAAATATGCAACAAACATTACAGATACGCTGCAAAAATAAAACTTGAGCGTATCATCAAAATATTGTGAAGTAACCCTGCGTATTCGATTAGCAAATCAGCAACTCATTATGAAATGATAAACGGGCATTCCGTCAACCTTGCCAAACTCCACGATGACAGTCACACTTTCTTGTGGAAGTAGCGTGGTATTTTTGAGTCCTATAAAGCTCTCGAACCCACACGACACCAGTTTGCAGGGACTAGATGAATAGTGTTTTTAAATATTTAACCTAAATACCAACATGTGTAAAAACTAGTGGGTAACAGAAATTTGAATACCCAGATAGAATTACTGATACCCAATGATTTTAAAATTTTAAAAAGCTTATCTGGAGCTCTGACTACAGCATCTTTAAGGATGATGATCAAACGTACAAGCGTTAAAAATAGCTACCCGTATTAATAATTATGACTCCCTCAATAGAATCCGACCTCTGCGCAATGTCGGACAAGTCCATTGTATGCACATGTGAGTATTTCCAGCATACTCTTACAATCCTCTTGTCGATTACCTGAACCTTTCCTCCCAATGACGATTGTCATATCCCTCCTGCTTTTGGATGTGATCGTTCGGCCATCGTGTTTATCTGCGTTGCTCAGCTACATCTATCGGGAACAACTCACAAGACAATCCCCTCTCAAAGAATACGTCGTCTAATATACGGCGTCATCAAGTTGCGAGCGCATGTTCGAATCTCCAGAAATGACGTCACGATAGAACAATGTTTTATCGTGAAATAAACCACGCTTCGTTCTTCATTGTTTTTGCGATTTATCGCGTAGCTATCTTATATTATATGTTAATTCACCCCTCGTCGATCCAGGATTAGAATTGGTCCCCAGCAAACTGTGCTAGCCGTAGGAGGCGATTTTATGGATCTGTTGTCGGGCTCGGTGACTTCGTTGATTGATGTACATGTAACCCCAACGGCGTGTACCATTGCTCATTATAGGGCGGTCGGGTAGCCTAGTGGTTAAAGCGTTCGCTCGTCGATTCCCAACATGGGTACAAGGTGTGAAGCCCATTTCTGGTGTCCCCCGCCCTGATATTGCTGGAATATTGCTAAAAGCGGCACAAAACAAACTCACCCACTCATTCATTGCTCATTATATCAAACCCTGGGTGCCGTTGTACAAAACAGCCTTGGCGCTAGGACTGTCGTAAGTCTAGGTTAAGGTATGGGAGTTACCTTCACCTTAGCGCTAAGATTGCTTTGTATAACGGCACCCTGGACCGTCTGGTCCAGACTAGGATATGCACAGGTAGACGTCATTAAGTTGAGAGACTAAAACAACTATAAAACAACAAACAAATCGAGTTAACCGAGTTCTCGTCTTCATACTACCGCCGGCATACACGGGAGTCGAAGGAAGCATTGTTCCGCTGCTAAAATGATATATAAGTTGATACCGTCGACGGGCACTTCGTAACTGATTTATGCAAGGATACAAGTCTCGCGACATTTGCAATAGTCTCGCGAGACTTCATAGCATTAATGGTAGCGTCTCAAAAACCACACTCTCAATGTGTTAATACAAAAACGATAAGTTTTGATACACAACAGACACTAATTATGCATAATATTATAAACACCAACTGTTTTATGAAGCGCCTAGCTGGTGTGTCATACCGAATTGTGTGTACGCTTGTGCTCTGATAATTCATGATACAGCTACGCCGCGATATGACTGGAATACTGTTAAAAGCGGCGTTAAACCCAACTCACTCACCCCCTAATACAGCTTCATACATTCTTGAAATGTTCCCGTTGTATTATATGTTTCCCAGTATCACAGACCACGTGACACACCTCTGTGGTAGCGCACAGCTGGGCTGTGTCAACATGGGTATCTAAACTACAGGGCAAAATACGGTATACACTTATGTAATGGGTCGCTTAAATGTGTGAGTGAGTGAATATGGTTTTCCGCCGCTTTTAGAAATATTCCAGCAATAGCAAGGCGGGGGACATCAGAAATGGGTTTCGATGGGGATACTAGAAATGGTCTCCGATGGGGAATCGAAGCCAGGTCTTCGGCGTGACGAGTGAACGCTTTAACCACTAGGCTACCCTACCGCCCCCGCTAAAATGAAACAAACAAGACATGTGTCTTCGATGGTGACAAATTGAGGGACTAAAGAAACTATACCTTTTAGTTGATTTTTTCACGTTTGATTTACATTTGAAAATATATTAAGTTTACGATATCAATCCAAGCAGTACAAGCAGCCACACACACACACAAACAAACAAACACACACACATACACAATCACACACACGCGCGCGCGCACGCACACACACACACAGTCGCTATATAAGTTCAAAAATCTTGAGCACGACGCTAAACCCCATTTTAACTCTCCTCATTTCTTCATCAACTAGGGGCGGTGGGGTAGCCTAGTGGTTAAAGCGTTTGCTCGTCACGCCGAAGACCCGGGTTCGATTCCCGACATGGGTACAATGTGTGAAGCCCATTTCTGGTGTCCCCCGCCGTGATATTGCTGGAATATTGCTAAAAGCGGCGTAAAACCATACTCAGTCAGTCAGTCTTCGTCAACTGGGGCGGTCGGGTAGTCTAGTGGTTAAAGCGTTCGCTCGTCACGCCGAAGACCCGGGTTCGATTCCCGACATGGGTACAATGTGTGAAGCCCATTTCTGGTGTCCCCCGCCGTGATATTGCTGGAATGTTGCTAAAAGCGACGTAAAACCATACTCACTTTTCATCAACTACGGAAGTTTATGCTAATTTAACAACATAATTATAACGCCGCACACAGCAGTATTCCAACTGTGTGTCAGTGGTCTGTACATAGTTTACCCTGGCACAGACAACCAATGATTGTAGGCATGAGCAACCATCCACGCAGTCGGGGGTACGATAACAGGCTATCAAACAAGTCAACGAGCCTGACCACCCGATCCATTAGTTCGTCACTTACAACCAGCACATGTTGGCTGGGGCTTATATTCTTACCTGGATTCCAACGGGGATATTGACACATACATTGTCTGATCGATTATTGTTGATGTTTATTAAGGTAAAAAAACTTATACCATGTTTTATCGACACATACAGTATTTCATACAGTATTACCTTTTAGCTGCCTAGATTTAAAGTGCTACCCCACCGAGATACCATGCCGCAGTTTAACGTGAATATCCCACTCAGACACAGTATACTGACTCCAAACCGGCCAGTCTTTGTGTCAGCCTCTTAACGCCGAGCGCCAGGCAGGGTAACAATAAATACAATCTTATAACGTCTTTCAAACCTCGGACCTTCGGCTTTTCGGGCGGATGTCTACCACAACGCGACGGGGGCGGTGTTTTAAGACGTTTAGGCGTGACTCTACACAGCAATCAAAGATACATCCAAGCACCATTGTAAACACACATTTTAAGGTTTCTATCAACGTAATAGGGGCGGTCGGGTAGCCTAGTGGTTAAAGCGTTCGCTCGTCACGCAGAAGACCCGGGTTCGATTCCACACATGGGTACAATGTGTGAAGCCCATTTCTGGTGTACCCCGCCGTGATATTGCTGGAATATTGCTAAAAGCGGCGTAAAACCATACTCACTCACTATTAACGTAATAATGGGATACTTACTTGAAATAGGAAATCCGTGGAGCTCCTCTCTGCTCCGTATCCCCCCGACCGGAAGTGACGTATTGGGCATGTGGCACTGACACACAGCATGGCGTGGTCCTACAATGAATACCACAATGCCCACCACAGCAGCCAGTATCACCGCCAACAGGATCAAAGCACAGGCACAGGGGACACTCAAGTAAAACCCCCTTGTCCTCTCCTTTGACGGTGGCCCTGTTTGTCCTTCCATCTTCCTTTACAACTACATACCATTGAGTGATTATGATTCGCAAAGGTGTCTGTTTTAAGCACTTCCGGTTTCCTCCCACGATGTGTCCGTGATGCAACGCCCAGATAGACAGGTGGAATCACATGGGTTGGATTGGTTTTCACATCGCGTTTCTCCTTACTCCGTCACAGCCTCTCAGAAAGCAGGTGTGACTAGCATTCAAACATTACACCTCAAAAGTTTTGTGATATAAACACATGTCACAGCCACGGTAAACAAGTTGTTGCATTTAAACATAAGGTTATGTATTTTATTACAGATGTGTGCATTGTGAGTCCATTTCCTGCAGCCTATACACTGCAGCTATCATTTAGTTTTGTTTGTTTGTTGTTTAACGCCGCACTCAGGAAATGTCCAGCTATATGACGTAGGTCTGTAAATAATAAATTTTATCTATTATCTTCGGAAATATTTGTCGGCTTACCTTATTTAAGAAATACAAATGACAGACCAGCTCCCAGGGCCCCGCCCACCACGATCATCCCCGCGGAGAGTCCACCCAGAGCACCTGTAACTGAGGGCAGTGTCATGTTACCACTAATATGACTATCACTACCAGCACTACCACTTGTGATGTGGTAGTGTTTTTGTTTTTGTTTTTTGTTGTTTGACACCGCACGCAGCAATATTTCAGCTATATGATGGCGGTCTGTAAATAATCGAGTCTGGACCAGACAATCCAGTGATTGACATCTTGAGCATCGATCCACGTAATTTGGATCGATGACATGCATCAACCAAGTCAGCGAGCCTGACCACCCGATCACGTTACTTGCCTTTTACGACAAGCATAGTCGCCTTTTACGGCAAGCATGGGTTGCTGAAGACCTATTCTACCCAGGATCTTCACGGGTCTACTATCATTTAGCCTCACTTACCACTATGCCTGTACAAGCTCATTTCCGCATCACAGGATGTATTTCATGATATATATGTCTAACAGCTTCTTTGACCTTGATATTTTGGCCAGTGAAGATCCGGGGTAGAATAGGTCTTCAGCAACCCATACTTGTCGCAAGAGGCGACTGACGGAGTCGGGTGGTCAGGCACGGTGACCTGGTTGATACATGTCATCGATCCCAATTGCGTGGATCGATGGTTATGATATTAATCACTGGATTGTCTGGTCCAGACTCGATTATTTACAGACCGCCGTCATAAAGCTGCGGCGTTAAACAACAAACAACGAAATTCTACTATGTGTCAATACGGGTCAATAAGCCTAGTGGTTAAAGCGTTCGCTCGTCACGCCGAAGACCCGGGTTCGATTCCCGACATGGGTACATTGTGTGAAGCCCATATCTGGTGTCCCCCGCCGTGATATTGCTGGAATATTGCTAAAAGCGGCGTAAAACCATACTCACTCACTCACTCACTGTGTCAATACATTTTATTTTTCTGCCTTCGTCCTTGTGTAGTATACTGTTCATGTATATATTGTGTGGAAAATTCGGATCTAGTACACTACCTGTTCAAATCATTCAGCGGTCATATTTATGGGGATGATTGAAATTATGCTTTTGGTGTAGCCGACCTATGGTCTTATTACCTGCTGAAGGCACGGGTGGCCCAGTGTAAGTTTTTCGCAACTTCGTGTGCAGTTCGGTTTCGAATCCCGGTTCGCCTGATTATATTTTTAGGTTTATTAGCACCACGCTCGTGATGATGGGTTTTAGAAAAGAAGTGAATGTATGAGACCCGCATCATTTCGGGACTTCCTCCTAGATGGAGCCTGACACGTTGCCATTTAACTGAAATATTGTTTAAAGCGACGTTTATCCCCAACTCTCTCATTCTCTCACTACCGTCCAATCACTGAAACCTCTTTCATGCACGCGGCAATAAAGACATAAAAATGACGTTATTCAATTATTGCTCAACGTCTGCACGAAACACCAAGTATACGCGGGTAGTGGAGAGGGCAAGGTGGACCAGGTATACGCGGGTAGTGGAAAGGGCAAGCTGGACCAGGTATACGCGGGTAGTGGAGAGGGCAAGCTGGACCAGGTATACGCGGGTAGTGGAGAGGGCAAGCTGGACCAGGTATACGCGGGTAGTGGAGAGGGCAAGGTGGACCAGGTATACACGGGTAGTGGAGAGGGCAAGCTGGACCAGGTATACGCGGGTAGTGGAGAGGGCAAGGTGGACCAGGTATACACGGGTAGTGGAGAGGGCAAGCTGGACCAGGTATACGCGGGTAGTGGAGAGGGCAAGGTGGACCAGGTATACACGGGTAGTGGAGAGGGCAAGCTGGACCAGGTATACGCGGGTAGTGGAGAGGGCAAGCTGGACCAGGTATACGCGGGTAGTGGAGAGGGCAAGCTGGACCAGGTATACGCGGGTAGTTGAGAGGGCAAGGTGGACCAGGTATACGCGGTCAGTGGAGAGGGCAAGCTGGACCAGGTATACGCGGGTAGTGGAGAGGGCAAGCTGGACCAGGTATACGCGGGTAGTGGAGAGGGCAAGCTGGACCAGTTATACGCGGGTAGTGGAGAGGGCAAGCTGTACCAGGTATACGCGGGTAGTGGAGAGGGCAAGCTGGACCAGGTATACGCGGGTAGTGGAGAGGGCAAGCTGTACCAGGTATACGCGGGTAGTGGAGAGGGCAAGCTGGATCAGGTATACGCGGGTAGTGGAGAGGGCAAGCTGTACCAGGTATACGCGGGTAGTGGAGAGGGCAAGCTGGATCAGGTATACACGGGTAGTGGAGAGGGCAAGCTGGACCAGGTATACGCGGGTAGTGGAGAGGGCAAGCTGGACCAGGTATACGCGGGTAGTGGAGAGGGCAAGCTGGACCAGGTATACGCGGGTAGTGGAGAGGGCAAGCTGGACCAGGTATACGCGGGTAGTGGAGAGGGCAAGCTGGACCAGGTATACGCGGGTAGTGGAGAGGGCAAGCTGGACCAGGTGAATACTAATACTCCAGTGGGAATTCTTGACCAGGTATATGCAGGTAGTCGAGGGGGGGCATTCTTGACCAGGTATATGCAGGAAGTCGAGGGGGCATTCTTGACAAGGTATATGCAGGTAGTCGAGGGGGGCATTCTTGACCAGGTATATGCAGGTAGTCGAGGGGGTCATTCTTGACCAGGTATATGCAGGTAGTCGAGGAGGGCATTCTTGACCAGGTATATGCAGGTAGTCGAGGGGGTGATTCTTGACCAGGTATATGCAGGTAGTCGAGGGGGTCATTCTTGACCAGGTATATGCAGGTAGTCGAGGGGGTCATTCTTGACCAGGTATATGCAGGTTGTCGAGGGGGTGTTTCTTGACCAGGTATATGCAGGTAGTCGAGGAGGGCATTCTTGACCAGGTATATGCAGGTAGTCGAGGAGGGCATTCTTGACCAGGTATATGCAGGTAGTCGAGGGGGTGATTCTTGACCAGGTATATGCAGGTAGTCGAGGGGGTCATTCTTGACCAGGTATATGCAGGTAGTCGAGGAGGGCATTCTTGACCAGGTATATGCAGGTATTCGAGGGGGTGATTCTTGACCAGGTATATGCAGGTAGTCGAGGGGGTCATTCTTGACCAGGTATATGCAGGTAGTCGAGTGGGCATGTTTGACCAGGTATTAGGCGGTAGTCCAGTGGGCAAGCTTGATCAGGTATATGCAGGTATTCGAGTGGGCACTCTTGACCAGGTAAATACTAGTGGTTCAGTGGACATGCATGACCAGGTAAATACTGGTAGTGCAGTTTTTTCCCCATCTACTTCTTCCGTGGTTGATGAGCCCATCGTTTTTCACCAGTATAAGGATCATTAAAGTCTGCCACCCTCTGGTATCTTTGTAAAATAGTTGGCGTTGAAGCTGACTGGCATGCCATACTCCAGAAGGGATTTCATTGAGGCCCTGAAAGGGTGGTTTTTGGTCTTCCCTTCACAACGAACTTTCGACAAATTGTCACCTGCTTGCCTTTTTATAGCTTTGGTTTGCTTCTGTGCAGCCACTGCTCTTTAACCACATCCTGGTTGTGAGACGTCACTTCTGTTTTGACGGATGATCGGGCCGCTTTTGAAGCTAGGGGCTTTCCGGGTATAAGGATTTGTAATCGAGGACGTCCCTTCACCACTGTTTGGTTAGCACCTTTCGATCAAATATCAAATAAATGCATAAATGTACTAGGATCTGGTATATACAATTTGCGTTTCATAGTTTCAGTCAAAGAATGGATAGCGACGTGAGAACTATCACACAGATTGCACATCAGGTCGAAAGTAGAATTGTTCATGACTTTCAGGTTTCACTTACCAAACCGTAACGCATATAAAGTGTGTGAGTGAGTGTGTGTGGGTTTAACGCAGCTTTTAACAGTATTCAAGTTATATCTCGGCGTGTCAGCTTAATGTGGGAGGAAAGCCCGATGTGATGCAGGTCTCAGACGTTTACCACTTCGGTGAAACCCACGAGCACGGGTATGGTGCTGACAAACCTAGAAACATAATCGGGGCGAACCGGGATTCGAACCCACAATCATAGGTTTCTGGCGTGCCCAAGGGACGCAACTCTGCACAGCGAATCGCGGCGCCTTAGTCGACTGGGCCGCCCCTGCCCCCACACATATAAAGCCACCAACCACTTCTAGCTGTAGGCGTTGAGATAGTTTCACTCGGAGACAATTGTGTGAATTTGGAAAGTAATAACGACTTCCATTAATACGAGTCCTAATAAATTCTGTCCTCTCCATTTCGAGGGAAATACTCTATTGGGGTCATGTAGAGACAGTCCATGGACTTGTTTGCAAATTTCAGGTGTATGAAAACTCTATCCTTTACATCAGTTGAATCACCATATTTTTCTGTTAAAGCGCCTTTCAGACCCGTGAAGATTCCGGGATAGAAGAGGTCTTCAGCAACCCATGCTTGCCGTAAAAGGTGACTATGCTTGTCGTAAAAGGCGACTAACGGGATCGGGTGGTCAGGCTCGCTGACTTGGTTGATACATGTCATCGATCCAAATTGCGTGGATCGATGCTCATGATATTAATCACTGGATTGTCTGGTCCAGACTCGATTAGTTACAGGGCGCCGTCATATAGCTGGAATATTGCTGAGTGCGGCGTTAAACAACAAACCAACCAAGAAACCATTGCCATTGGTTTTTCTGTCTCACACGTTTACCCAATCGTTTCTGTCCTGCAGGTGATGAACACATTAAAATCTTATCACCGGTGTCCCAGTCTTCAAAAACCACAGCTATGAAATACATATAATCTAATATATATAAAGTTTAGGGATCATAAAGTCCTTATGCCTATCTCTGCATAAATCGCTTTGATGTCTTCATTTTGTGTCACAATTAATATGATGACCTGGTTCTCTACCAGGAGTGAAGTGTACCTATAAGTCCATTTCCCTTATCCACACGTATCTTTTTTGGAATTCGACCCTCTGACAATATCGTTTTAACCCTCTAGCACGTCTCTCATTTCATATTTTTCAAGGGAGCTACCAACAAATAGCGTGACAAAACGTCAATGGATATAAATAAATATCACACATTGTCAGTGGACTTAAAATATCTGCCGACATCCATCAAATCCAAGTTAGCTAGTTCGTCGAGACTGTTGACTCGCACTCGAAGTCGTGGAAATTTGAACCTCATGGGTTTGTGAAGGCTATATGCATCCTGTTCTTGAAAGTAATCTTTCACTCTCTTTACGCTTTTTCAAACTCAAATTTAGATTGACCGTAAAAGGCCCCACTTTGGGGCAATATAGTATTGTTCCAAAACCTCTTTCCTCTTCTCACTTTAAAGTGCTTGAACGATTCAGTAGCCATGGCACAATGATCAATACTATTCTAGCTTGCAGTAAAATAAGGGGGCACGGGTGGCCCAGTCGTCTAAGGCGCCGCGATTCGCTGTGCAGAGTTGCGTCCCTTGGGCACGCCAGAAACCTATAAATGTGGGTTCGAATCCCGGTTCGCCCCGATTATGTTTCTAGGTTTGTCAGCACCATACCTGTGCTCGTGGGTTTCACCGAAGTGGTAAACGTCTAAGACCTGCGTCACTTCGGGCTTTCCTCCAACATCAAGCTGACACGCCGCGATATAACTGGAATAATGTTAAAAGCGGCGTTAAACCCAACTCACTCACTCAATGCAGTAAAATAAGAATAAAAACGATGCAACATTCAACTATATATTACATTGAAAACTCTTTCCAACTGCAACATTTTTACAAGGCGTTTTCTTACTCTGACACCCAAAGGTGAGTTTTGAAGTAAACATCTCAATTGTCTTTGCACTGGTATTGACACAAAGTAAAAGATGATAAATGGGCTGACTGATATATGCTGGGTAGATGACGATTACAGGATGTGTGAGCACGTTTGAAAAGCAAATTCAAATGTCAATAGGTAATCTTACAAGGTTGCATGCTTCCTCTTCTCTTATTCCTATCACTTCCAAAGAATACATTTGGAGATTGGAACCTTTTCACTCGCACGGTCTACTTTCTTCGCATGAAAATTTAATGTCTTCAGATAACATGATAAGAGAGAGTTATTTTTTATTACACAGCATGACCTACGGTGTATGCTTTTCTGTGAACTTGGCTAAGAAGTTCTGCTTCTTTATCTGAATGACATGTTTGAAGTAGCTATGGTACCCATTTTTGTAACTAAAATAATCAAGCATGTGCTAAGCTCAAATGGTGGTATCAGTCCTTTTTACGTTGCCGTTAGCAATTGCTGTACCCATGTGGTAAAGAACCTGGTATGACGAGCCAGCACCAATAGGGTAGGTACCCAACGGCCCTAAACCGGAAATGAATATATCGCTAACATTGGATTCTCTGTTTTAAGATGGCCTGCCTGACGTTCATGTGAAGGTAGCGAGAGGCTCTTTGTTGTAAAGTCGCCTTGCATCTCATCAAAGCTTAAGGCATTATTATCTACACTTTTGTAGAGTGGGACCCGTGAAGATCCGGGGTAGAAAAGGTCTTAACCCATTATTTCCGTAAAAGGCGACGATGCTTGTCCTAAAAGGCGACTAACGGGATCGGGTGGTCAGGCTTGCTGACTTGGTTGACGCATGTAATGGTATCCCAATTGCGTGGATCGATGCTCATGATGTCAATCACTGGATTGTCTGGTCCAGACTCGAGTAGTTACAAGCCTCCATCATATAGCTGGAATATTGCTGAGTATGGCGTTAATAAAGAAAACCCCCCAAAAAACACATTTTGTAGAATTGAAGTGGTGAATTATTCATAACTTTTACAGCAGCGGTGGAAACCAGACACCTGCCAACATGGCAATACTGGTATCTCCTGCTGTATCATCTGCTTAGCGTTCTGGGGATCATTTATATGAAAGACAACTGTGCCATCTATTGCAGTTAAAGCATCACCTTAAAAAGGTGTGTCATCTTAATTGTGTTTTAGAACCAAATGAATCAGAACTGAAGATCGGTTCTTCATTTTGCAGTTCGAGTGGCCCCGTGGTCTTGTGCAACACACTTGGCAGTAGAGTGAGTGAGTGAGTGAGTTGGGTTTAACGCCGCTTTTAACAGTATTCCAGGTATATCACGGCGTGTCAGCTGAATGTGGGAGGAAAGCCCGAAGTGATGCAGGTCTCAGACGTTTACCATGAGTACGGGTATGGTGCTGACAAACCTAGAAACATAATCGGGGCGAACCGGGATTCGAACCCATAGCCAAAGGACGCAATTTTTGCCTGCGCTACCCAATTGCCAAGGACAAATGCGATATGAAATGTGAAAAAGGGAGATGGTATCACACATGTTTGTGATTGTGTAGCAGTAGTGCATTATCAAGGCCTTCAAATAAAATCGCTAATGCTTAGCTGCAATTATAAATATGACACTATACTTTGACATCAATAATAAGATACATATAAAATAAGTTAGATGATAATTTCAGACTCAAGTGCAGTATATAGATGTGGTGACTGTTTCAGATAGTGACATATATCAAAATAAGGCTACCAGTTGACATATAATCCCTCTCCATATTTAATACGAAGTTCGATGAATATTTCAGACTCAAGCACAGCACATAGATGTAGTGACTGTAGGACTGAGCACACACAATTTGTTTGAGAGCAGTGATACAATGCAACATT